TGGTCTAACAAAAATGCTTTCAAAATAAAATTGGTGTTTCCTTGAAGGAAATGGTTTTTGTTCAGTTCAGAAGTCAAACATGAGTACATCAAGACAGTCGGCCTTTGTTGTGTACTTTACAGACGTGTTACATATTTTACACAATATTAAGTGGATGTGTACTCAAGGCTTAAGATTTGATTTTTACTGCTTTATTAAGGGCAACAAACATGCGACTTTGTTTTTTGTTACTGGGAGTAGTGGTGAAGAGTACAATGCTAACACTTTAGTGCCAGGACCTTGATTTGTGCTAAAATGAGCAATTTTATGCAGCGTTGCTTTTGCATCATGTTTACAAATATCAACACAGTGAAAAGAGTAAATATTAAAATCTCAGGATTATTAGTACAGTGGAAATACTAGTCATCTCACAGATCTCACAAGTACAGTGATCTCACAGACCTGATAATAAGCAGCCCCCACCATAGGGCCGTATGCTGTGCCTTGAGAACCAGCATAATAAAGACGGTGAGTACATGCAGAGTAGTATTTGTTTCTGTAAATATTTTTCACCAGATTTAGGAAGAGTAGATAATAGCTTCTCTTTCCAGAAATTAGTAGCTCCTGGAAAGCAAGGACTTGGAATTTTCTCCTTTATCTTACAGAGTGCTCTATAAATGTTGGACTGAAATTTTGATCAGAAATTAAACTGAAGCAATGCCTGTTGGGATGGAGAATAGGACACTGGGAGATTTATCCATATTTTTGATGTGGGCAGTGAAGAACGAGCAATCTTTGAATCCAAGATTTCTATTGTGGATAAAGGGACAGATTATAGGAAAACTAGGATCTTTCCAAGAAGGATCATTTAATTTTGGCTATATCAAATTTGAGATGCCTGTGTTAAGTGGAGGTGACTAGTAAGCAAAGGAAAATAAAAGTGAAGTGTAAGAGAGAACTCTGCACTGATGCACTCAGACGTGAACAGGTATACAATAGTGAATGAAGCCATGTGTATGGAAGGACTTCTCTGTAGAGAGAGTAGAGAGGGAAAAGGATACTGGGAAATAGCACAGTTTAAATTGTGAACTAAAAAGTGGAGATAGCCAAAAGGGTAGAGAGATACCAAGACAGAAAAATGCTAGGGAAATTGAAAAATGTGTGCTAGTGATTTGGGTCTCCCCCTCACCCTACCTAATCTGTAGCAAACGTGCTGATACATTAGTGATAGAAATATTCTAGGTAACAAACAGACCCAACTTTGTTGTTAATGAGGTGATGCTGAGATCTGCTAGGCTTAATGCACCCCAAGTTATGAAGGAATGACAAACTGGTATTGTAAAGAGGAGAAAGTCTTCGTTTTTTTTTTTTTAGTGCTCCTACATGTTACTAGAGAGTTTTCAAACTTTTGTTAGAATCATCTGAGGATCTTCTTGGGTCCATGGCTTTCATTCCAAATGTTCTTTGATATTTTTAGTTTACTTGTTTTTATGGGTTATGTTCTGGACGTTAGGGTTTTTTAAAGCTCACCAAATAGTACAGGTGAAAATGCAGCAGAGGAGGGGAATCACTGACTGTCTGAGGCAAATGGACTGAACTCTACATTACTGAAAGCAGGTTTAATCTTGTTAGGTAGAGAATTCCAGAGGTTGCTGCCGTTTGTTTCTAATTTTAAATTAACCATGGAGACTTTCCTAGATATGTTTATTGAACATTTATCTGCATACCACCTATGCCATACACAGTATGTACCATTGGAGTTTCAATTATGAATAATAGGTTCTGTCTTTCCAATATGGAGTTCACATTTCAGAGATGATTAAGTAAAGTTTAAGGAAAACTCAATATCTGTCTTTAATGCTAAGGTTTCCCATTTTCTCTCATACTCAACTATCCAAAATTATTTAATATTTCAGATGTGTGTTCAAGGTTACTGAGGGTGAAGAGGATACAAAATTTAAATCTAGTGTTTGCTGTGAAAAGTCTGTTTGTGAAAATAAAGCAGATATGTGTGATATTTCAATATGTCACTCTTTTCCATCTTTCAGGATTTGAATATACTTCTTCTAGAAATGTATTTCCCGCTGTATACCTTCCCAGTAAATATATGAAGTTAAAAATCTCTGAATTTTTCATTATTCATTTCTACATAAAATATTTTTCACTCAAGGGTCTTTCTAGGTAATGTCGTTATTTGAACATAAACGATGCAGTGGTACAAGAGTTCACTCATACTTTTCTAAGAGAAAAGAAAAGACTAATCATTTCATCACCTAGAATGTTTTTCTTTTAACTCTTAAAGTGAAGATATAATGTAAGTTATTTAGTCATCTGGATCAAAAAATCCCAGTTAAAAAACTGGAAAATAAGTGGATGGAATAAAAGTTTGTCATATTTCTTACATGAACTATTTTTGTGTAAAATTTCATTTTTGACATTGAAAATGTTTTCAGGGATGTGTGTGCATATGAACTTAGGTTTTTATGTATTTTAAAATATAGGTCATTGGTAGAATAAAGTCATTTTTTGTCTTCCCAGTACTATATTTATTTAGTAAAAACTTAGAATTGAAAGAGCAGCCAATAAAAACTTGGTTATAAGAAATTCCCAGTATGAAATTAGCTTTGGCAAAGGAGGAATCTTGGTTTACAAACATGCAAGGAAGGATTGAACAACCAAGAAAAGAATGGCAGATATACAGATGGGCTTTACGAGTATTGGAAACCAGGGACTCAGACATGGCCACTAGTTTCTCTCCATCTGTTTGTTGTTTGTTTGTTTTTTAATTCTTTTAGCTAACTTCACTCTATCTAGCCACAGACTCGCTTTTTCCACGTATTGGGAAACATGGCTACTAATACTTGAGTTTTATGTCGACTTCACCTTTTTGGACCAGAGTCCAAAAGTCCCAAGAAGAGAGCCATTGTCTGGGCTTTGTTTGAGTGCCCTTGTGGGTCAGTCAGCTCTGGCCAGGTTTGTGAGAGGACACTAAACAAACACATCAATAATAGTTATAGCCAGGTTGATGTAAGAGGAAGTTACCAGGAAAAGAGGTGAATAAGACAGACAAACAGTTCACTATACTTATAGTAAAATAAAATAATGAGAAAGCCAAGGAAACAAAATTAGAAAATATACAGTGAAAAAATAGGGCAACCTTTATCACATATGACAAGTGTGACTGTTTGAAAAAACAACTGAAAAGTCCATTTATGCTCAAACAAAATGACACAGTTAATAATTAAAAGTGAAAAGTTGGCAGAGACAAGTAAGGAACATGGCAAATAAAAAGGATGATGGCAGTATAACTGTCAGACAGAACAGTGTCATAGACAAATAGCAGTTTTGTGTAACAAAAGAAGTAAATAAAACCCAGCTTTAAAGCAAGAAAGGGAAACACTTAGGTGCCAGAAATACAATGAATTTAAACTGAAAGCCTCAGAGACTTTTAGGAGTCTTGATATATAAAAGCCTTAGGTATTAGGGTACGGTAGGGGAGAAGTTGGAATTTTAAATCCAGGTAGCAACTGGAGATAAAAAACTTTAGGCCCAGGTGAAGTGACTTCCTTTGGAGAAAAGGAACTGGAATGACCCAGCCCCCTGGCCTGGGAAAGAGGCTGTGGTGGAAAAGTCGCCTGTGGTATATCAGCCGAGGCTCGTTCTGTGTGCTCTGCTAAGAGAATACTTGAAGACCTGAATAGAGCTGTGCAGTGTTCCTCAGTGGGAACTTTAATATTGTGAATATCACTTAAAGAATAATGTGTGAGAACTGCACTTTTTCTTTTAATAGAAAGCTTCACTCAGATAAAGGATGGCCTCACCATATCAATAACAGATTGTAGAGCTATACAAATAGGAAGTGTGGAGCTGGTACAGAAATAGACATTAGTGGAATAGAAAGTTCATAGACAAGTATGTATAAAGATGGAGTTCTAGAAATGTACCTATAGATTGACATGGAGAAGTACTAAACTTATGGATTGTAGTAGTTGGAAGGAAATTCATATAATCTTAAATACTTTAATTATCAAGCAAGAAAAGAATGAAAATAATTGAATATTGTTAACACTGCTGTATGATAGATACAGGAACTTACAGTTATATGAAATTCATATATCAAAATATTTTTAATAGAAATGCAAAATAAAATAATTGGAGTACCCTGGGTTTCTTAATCAGAATGGCAGTGACGTTGTAGTTAATAATGGTCTGTATTGGCAAAGACAGGTACTTGTGATAAAAGTGTAAATTGATACAGCCTTTTTTTCTTAAGGTATTTTGCTCTATTCAGGAACCTTTAAATATGAATATTCTTTGATCTAATAACTTTGTTTTTCAATTCCTAACTGATCACAGGGAAATAATCTCTTTAAGTAATGACCAAAATTGATAGTCATTATCTCTTGGTAGTAGTTCTTCTCTTTGTTGTTCTACAGTGAATATGTATTATAATTAGAAGCTTTTTGAGGGGCAGAGTGCTTAGGGTTTTTTGGAGATCAAAAAAATAGTCCTTTTTGTGCTTGTATGTGTGTGCTCAGTCATATCTGACTCTCTGCATCCCCGTGGACTGTAGCCCGTGAGGCCTCCTCTGTCACGGGATTTTCCAGACAAGAATACTGGAGTGCTTTGCCATTGCCTTCTCCAGTTTTTGTGCTTAACTGTTTTTTACTCTATAATTGGATTCTGCATGTGATCTTATTAGTAAAACAAAAGATTGATAGTTAATAATATGCCTTAGCACAGTTTGTGGCTTTTGTATGATTAGCTAAATATTTTTGCCATTTTACAAAATCCTTGAAATGTTTTTACCATTGCAGTGTGCTTTTTACTTGAATACCTGGCTCATTTCAGAGATTCACATGATGTCTTTAAAATAGATTTTTTAAAACAATTATCATGTGATCATAATTCCCAAAGAGTGATCCTCCATCAATTTTATTTTTTATTTAGATGAATTTATTCTTTTTCAGTAAACTTTTCCATGGACAGTATCTTACAGTATCCATATTTGTATTTGACAGCTATATTTTCTGCTCTGAAGAATCTTCAAGATAAAATTCGGCGTTTAGAACTTGAAAGGATTCAGGCAGAAGAGAGTGTGAAAACCTTGTCTAAAGAAACAATTGAATATAAGAAAGTATTGGATGAACAGATACAAGAAAGGGAGAATTCAAAGAATGAGGAATCAAAGCACAACCAAGGTTTGTTTATTATGAGGGAAATAAAACACTATCAACATAAGTATTATAAAATTACTCTTTAAAAAATTACCTTAAAAGAAATTCCACGTTAGTGTTTTCTAGTGCTTAGTGTCTTCCAGCACTACAAGATTGCATTATATTTGAGAGCGTTTTGAGGAACAAGTGCTGATGCCCTGCATTAAAATTATTGTCTGAATGCAAGGCAGATTAGACTAACATACAGAAAGTGAGAGACTTAGGTCCTTTGAAAACGCTTCTAGAGGTACTGGAAAATGTTTATTATATATACTGTAGATTCATGTTAAACAGATTGTTAAACTGTTTTGTGAGTGAGCTGATCTCTGTTTTTCTTTTTAGAACTGACATCTCAGTTGTTAGCTGCAGAAAATAAATGTAATCTTTTAGAAAAACAATTGGAATACATGCGGAACATGATAAAGCATGCAGAAATGGAGAGGACATCTGTATTAGAGAAACAGGTTTGTTCCTTCACAGAATCATTCTCAAGAAAAGTTAGCTATAGAGAAAATTAGGTAGATATAAAGACCTTTTTACTCAGTGAGGACTAATGGTGCTGTTACAAATAATCAGTTCTCCCTCTATCTTAAAAGGTAATAGTACCCATCATTTTGAAAAACTGCTAGTGGAAGCTTTGAGAGAAAAGTGGTTTGTTTTTTGCTTCCAGCAAAGCTGTAAAGAAGAGTTTGTTTTTTGGATGACCCTCATACACACTGTCATATCCTCTATAGCTTCTGCTTTGGGACAGTATAACAGCCGAGGACTGAAATTACTTGGGATCAGTTATAGTGATACCTCATTTTCCTATTGTAAATCTAGAATTTGAATTCATTATGAATACTTTTTTAGCATCTTAATTTTGTTATACAGAAGTTGAATATTTTGTTGGACACTGCAACGTGAGAGAAATTGAATGCTTTCCACCTCAGTTAGCCTTCAGTCATAGTTGGAGATATGACCTAAAAGGAATACTTGATTGCATGACAGTATTTAAGAGAATGCTTCAGCAGTTCTTTAGTGTAAATTATATTATAGTTCTCTTTACTGTGCCAATGAGTTTATTGTGACCTTATATTCTTGTTTCCAGTTGGGTCTAACATTTTTATGGGATAGTTGGAGTGGGGAAGGAGGTGATCTGCCACATGATTGGAAATAGCCAAGCATGTTCAGTAAGCACTATAGTAATTCTCTTTATTAGGATATTTCAGTTCACAGGTTAGAAAGCACCTTTTAAAACAGTAGTGAGTGGGAGGAGGAGCCAAGATGGCAGAGGAATAGGACGGGGAGACCACTTTCTCCCCTACAAATTCATCGAAAGAACAATTGAACGCAGAGCAAACTTTACAAAACAACTTCTGATCGCTAGCTGAGGTCATCAGGCGCCCAGAGAAGCAGCCCATTGTCTTCGAAAGGAGGTAGGAAAAAATATAAAAGATAAAAAGAGAGACAAGAGAGCTAGGGACGGAGATCCATCCCGGGAAGGGAGTCTTAATAGAGGAAGTTTCCAAACACCAGGAAACCCTCACACTGGCGGATCTGGGGTTAGTTTTTAAATCTCGGAGGGCAACCTAACTGGGAGGGGAAAAATAAATAAAACCCACAGATTACATGCCTAAAAGCAACTCCCAGCAGAAAACTACCCCAGACGCCCGCATCCGCCACCAACAAGTAGGGGCGGAACGGAGAGGAGCGGGTGGCATTGCTTAGGGTAAGGACAGGGCCGGAGTGCCCTGAGGGCAATCGGAGGGTGCCTTTGTGAGTTACCAACTTAAACTGTGGGACAGCAAAAGAGAGAGAGAAAATTAACTGGCCCGAACGCACTACCGGCCGTTCATAGAACAAAGGGACCGAGCAAATCCAGAGGAGCTAGACGACTGCAGACCGGACTGGCCCAGCCCCGCCGGAGGCAGTGGGGAGGGGAAAGGGGCAGGCTCGGCCCTAAGGACTGCATCCCCTACCACACTGCAAACAGGCCTCCAGTTTCTAACCAAAGACTTCCTGAGATTCTGGATGGTCGACCTCCACCAGGAGGGTCACAGCTAGACACAGGGCGCACGCACCCGACCGGCGCGCACAGGGACTGGGGCTGGGGACGCGGAGGGGAGAAGGTGCACCGCACCTGACTGGCCCGGGTGGAAACTGAGGCTGGGACCGCGGAGGGGAGAAGGCGCGCCGCACCTGGGGAGAGTACGCCCATGAAGCTCCTGGCTGCCTGAGCTGCTTGGGCCGGGGAAGGCACAAAACGCAGGCACAGCCGAGTCCACGCTTTTGTGGAACACCCAAGGGCTGGAACCGAGTGCAGCGCAGGGCATGCTCCATATAGAGCAGCCAGGAGCCTGAGCAGTGTAGATGGGGAAAGCAGCGCCAGTCCCTCCCCGCAGTGCGACAGAACTAGCAACCTGAACAGGAGACCACCTCCGCCCGCCTGTGTCAGGGCGGAAATTAGGCACTGAAGAGACTGGCAAACAGAAGCCAATAAACAAAGGGAACCACTTCAGAAGGGACCAGTGCAACAGATTAAAACCCTTGTAGGTAACACCAACTACACCGGAAGGGGCCTATAGATATCGAGAAGTGTAAGCTGGAACGAGGAGCTATCTGAAACTGAACTGAACCCACACTGACCGCAACAGCTCCAGAGAAATTCCTAGATATATTTTTAACTTTTTTTTTTTTTTAATTAAAAAAAATTTTTTTTTCTTTCTTTTCTTTTCTTTTTTATTTTTTCTCTTTTATTTTCTTTTAAAATTCCCTGTTACTGCCCCATTACTCCTTAACTTTCATTTTCATAGATTATGATTTTTTAAATTAGGATTTCCTCTTGTTTTTTTTTCTTTTTTTTTTTATTTTTTTCTTTTTCTCTTATTTCCTTTTAAAGTACTCTAATACTTCTCTACGACTCCTTAATTTTCATTTTCCTTTCACTACAACCTTGCAAAAAAAAAAGAGAAGCCCTATTTTTAAACCAAACTTCGTATATATTTCTAAAATTTTTTGTTTTTGTTTTTAATATTGTATGTTTAAGAGTCTAACCTCTACTGTAGATTTTTAATCTTTGTTTTTCAGTATGTGATATAAATTTTGGACCTTTAAGAGTCCAATATTCAATTCCCATTTTTATTCAGAAGTGTGTTGATTACTCTCTCCCAATTTTGACTCTCCGTTTTTCTACCTCAGAACACCTCTATTTCCTCCTTTCCCCTTCGCTTCCCAATCCAATTCTGTGAATCTTTGTGGGTGTCTGGTCTACGGAGAACACTCTGGGAACAGACACCTGCGTAGATCTGTCTCTCTCCTCGTGAGTCCCCCTTTTTCTCCTCCTGCTCATCTCTCTCTCCCTCCTCCCTCTCCTCTTCTTCATGTAACTCTGTGAACCTCTCTGGGTGTCCCTCACGGGGGAAAATCTTTTCACCATTAACCTAGAAGTTTTATTATCAGTGCTGTATAGTTGGAGAAGTCTTGAGACTACTGGAAGAATAAAACTGAAATCCAGAGGCAGGAGACTTAAGCCCCAAACTTGAGAACACCAGAAAACTCCTGACTACATGAACATTAAGTAATAAGAGACTGTCCAAAAGCCTCCATACCTACACTAAAACCAACCATCACCCACGAGCCAGTAAGTTTCAGAGCAAGACATACCACGCAAATTCTCCAGTAACACAGGAACATAGCCCTGAGCGTCAACATACAGGCTGCCCACCGTCACACCTAACACTTAGACCCATCTCAAAACTCATGACTGGGCACTCCATTGCACTCTAGAGAGAAGAAACCTAGTTCCACGCACCAGAACACTGATGCAAGCTTCCCTAACCAGGAAACCTTGACAAGCCAATCGTCCAACCCCGCCCTCTGGGTAAAACCTCCACAATAAAAACGAACCACAGACCTCCAGAATACAGAAAGCCCACTCCAGACACAGCAATCTAAACAAGATGAAAAGGCAGAGAAATACCCATCAGGTAAAGGAACATGAAAAATGCCCACCAAGTCAAACAAAAGAGGAGGAAATAGGGAATCTACCTGAAAAAGAATTTAGAATAATGATAATAAAAATGATCCAAAATCTTGAAAACAAAATGGAGTTACAGATAAATAGCCTGGAGACAAAGATTGAGAAGATGCAAGAAATGTTTAATAAAGACCTAGAAGAAATAAAAAAGAGTCAGTTAAAAATGAATAATGCAATAAATGAGATCAAAAACACTCTGGAGGGAACCAAGAGTAGAATAACGGAGACGGAAGATAGGATAAGTGAGGTAGAAGATAAAATGGTGGAAATAAATGAAGCAGAGAGGAAAAAAGAAAAAAGAGTCAAAAGAAATGAGGACAATCTCAGGGACCGCTGGGACAATGTGAAACGCCCCAACATTCCAATCATAGGAGTCCCAGAAGAAGAAGACAAAAAGAAAGACCATGAGAAGTTACTCGAGATAATAGCTGAAAACTTCCCTAAAATGGGGAAGGAAATAGCCACCCAAGTCCAAGAAACCCAGAGAGTCCCAAACAGGATAAACCCAAGACAAAACACCCCAAGATACGTATTAATCAAATTAACAAAGATCAAACACAAAGAACAGATATTAAAAGCAGCAAGGGAGAAACAACAAATAACACACAAAGGGATTCCCATAAGGATAACAGCTGATCTCTCAATAGAAACCCTCCAGGCCAGAAGGGAATGGCAGGACATACTTAAAGTAATGAAAGAGAATAACCTACAACATAGATTACTGTACCCAGCAAGGATCTCATTCAGATATGAAGGAGAATTCAAAAGCTTTACAGACGAGCAAAAGCTGAGAGAATTCAGCACCACCGAACCAGCTCTTCAACAAATGCTAAAGGATCTTCTCTAGACAGGAAACACAGAAAGGTTGTATAAACGTGAACCCAAAACAACAAAGTAAATGGCAACGGGACCATACCTATCAATAATTACCTTAAATGTAAATGGGTTGAATGCCCCAACCAAAAGACAAAGACTGGCTGAATGGATACAAAAACAAGACCCCTATATATGCTGTCTACAAGAGACCCACCTCAAAACAAGAGACACATACAGACTAAAAGTGAAGGGCTGGAAAAAAATATTTCACGCAAACAGAGACCAAAAGAAAGCAGGAGTCACAATACTCATGTCAGATAAAATAGACTTTCAAATAAAGGATGTGAAAAGAGACAAAGAAGGACACTACATAATGATCAAAGGGTCAATCCAAGAAGAAGATATAACAATTATATATGCACCCAACATAGCACCGCAATATGTAAGGCAAACGCTAACAAGTATGAAAGTGGAAATTAATAGTAACACAATAATAGTGGGAGACTAATATCCCACTCACAACTATGGATAGATCAACTAAACAGAAAATTAAGGAAACACAAACTTTAAAGGACACAATGGACCAGCTAGACCTAATTGATATCTATAGAACATTTCACCCCAAAACAATCAACTTCACCTTTTTCTCAAGTGCACACGGAAACTTCTCCAGAATAGATCACATCCTGGGCCATAAATCTAGTCTTGGAAAATTCAAAAAGATTGAAATCATTCGTCATCTTTTCTGACCACAGTGCAGTAAGATTAGATCTCAATTACAGGAAAAAAAATTGTTAAAAATTCAAACATATGGAGGCTAAATAACATGCTTCTTAATAACCAACAAATCATAGAAGAAATAAAGAAATCAAAATATGCATAGAAATGAATGAAAATGAAAACACAACAACCCAAAACCTATGGGACACTGTAAAAGCAGTGCTAAGGGGAAGGTTCATAGCATTACAGGCTTACCTCAAGAAACAAGAAAAAAGTCAAATAAATAACCTAACTCTACACCTAAAGCAATTAGACAAGGAGGAAATGAAGAACCCCAGGGTTAGTAAAAGGAAAGAAATCTTAAAAATTAGGGCAGAAATAAATGCAAAAGAAACTAAAGAGACCGTAGCAAAAATCAACAAAGCTAAAAGCTGGTTTTTTGAAAAAATAAACAAAATTGACAAACCATTAGCAAGACTCATTAAGAAACAGAGAAGAACCAAATTATCAAAATTAGAAATGAAAATGGAGAGATCACAACAGACAACACTGAAATACAAAGGGTCATAATGGACTACTACCAGTAGCTCTATGCCAATAAAATGGACAACTTGGAAGAAATGAACAAGTTCCTAGAAAAGTATAACTTTCCAAAACTGAACCAGGAAGAAATAGAAGATCTTAACAGAGCCATCACAAGCAAGGAAATCAAAACTGTAATCAGAAATCTTCCAGCAAACAAAAGCCCAGGACCAGATGGCTTCACAGCTGAATTCTACCAAAAATTTAGAGAAGAGCTAACACCTATCCTACTCAAACTCTTCCAGAAAATTGCTGAAGAAGCTAAACTTCCAAACTCATTCTCTGAGGCCACCCTCACCCTAATTCCAAAACCAGACAAAGATGCCACAAAAAAGAAAACTACAGGCCAATATCACTGATGAACTAGATGCAAAAATCCTTAACAAAATTCTAGCAAACAGAATCCAACAACATATTAAAAAAATCATACACCATGACCAAGTGGGCTCTATCCCAGGAATGCAAGGATTCTTTAATATTTGCAAATCAATCAATGTAATACACCACATTAACAGGTTGAAAGATAAAAACCATATTATTATCTCAATAGATGCAGAGAAAGCCTTTGACAAAATTCAACACCCATTTATGATTAAAACTCTCCAGGAAGCAGGAATAGAAGGAACATACCTCAACATAATAAAAGCTATATATGACAAACCCACAACAAGCATTACCCTCAATGGTGAAAAATTGAAAGCATTTCCCCTGAAATCAGGAACAAGACAAGGGTGCCCACTCTCACCACTACTATTCAACATAGTTTTGGAAGTTTTGGCCACAGCAATCAGACCAGAAAAAGAAGTAAAAGGAATCCAGATAGGAAAAGAAGTGAAACTCTCGCTGTTTGCAGATGACGTGATCCTCTACATAGAAAACCCTAAAGACTCTACCAGAAAATTACTAGAGCTAATCAGCGAATATAGTAAAGTTGCAGGATATAAAAGTAACACACAAATCCATTGCATTCATATACACTAACAATGAGAAAACAGAAAGAAAAATTAAGGAAACAATACCATTCTCCATTGCAACAAAAAGAATAAAATACTTAGGAGTATATCTGCCTAAAGAAACAAAAGACCTATACATAGAAAACTATAAAACACTGATGAAAGAAATCAAAGAGGACACAAACAGATGGAGAAACATACCATGTTCATGGATTGGAAGAATCAATATTGTGAAAATGGCTATACTACCCAAAGCAATCTATAGATTCAATGCAATCTCTATCAAGCTACCAACGGTATTTTTCACAGAACTAGAACAAATAATTTCACAATTTGTATGGAAATACAAAAAACCTCGAATAGCCAAAGTAATCTTGAGAAAGAAGAATGGAACTGGAGGAGTCAACCTGCCTGACTTCAGACTCTTCTACAAAGCCACAGTCATCAAGACAGTATGGTACTGGCACAAAGACAGAAATATAGATCAATGGAACAGAATAGAAAGCCCAGAGATAAATCCACGAACCTATGGTCACCTTATCTTTGACAAAGGAGGCAAGGATATACAATGGAAAAAAGACAACCTCTTTAACAAGTGGTGCTGGGAAAACTGGCCAACCACTTGTAAAAGAATGAAACTAGAACACTTTCTAACACCAAACACAAAAATAAACTCAAAATGGATTAAAGATCTAAATTTAAGAACAGAAACTATAAAACTCCTAGAGGAGAACATAGGCAAAACACTCTCTGACATGAATCACAGTAGGATCCTCTATGACCCACCTCCCAGAATATTGGAAATAAAAGCAAAAATAAACAAATGGGACCTAATGAAACTTAAAAGCTTTTGCACAACAAAGGAAACTATAAGCAAGGTGAAAAGACAGCCCTCAGATTGGGAGAAAATAATAGCAAAGGAAGCAACAGACAAAGGATTAATCTCAAAAATATACAAGCAACTCCTGCAGCTCAATTCCAGAAAAATAAATGACCCAGTCAAAAAATGGGCCAAAGAACTAAACAGACATTTCTCCAAAGAAGACATACAGATGGCTAACAAACACATGAAAAGATGCTCAACATCACTCATTGTCAAAGAAATGCAAATCAAAACCTCAATGAGGTACCATTACACGCCAGTCAGAATGGCTGCTATCCAAAAGTCTACAAGCAATAAACGCTGGAGAGGGTGTGGAGAAAAGGGAACCCTCTTACACTGTTGGTGGGTGCAAACTAGTACAGCCACTATGGAGAACAGTGTGGAGATTTCTTTAAAAACTGGAAATAGAACTGCCATATGACCCAGCAATCCAACCTCTGGGCATACACACCGAGGAAACCAGATCTGAAAAAGACACGTGCACCCCAATGTTCATCGCAGCACTGTTTATAATATCCAGGACATGGAAGCAACCTAGATGCCCATCCGCAGACAAATGGATGAGGAAGCTGTGGTACATATACACCATAGAATATTACTCAGCCATTAAAAAGAATTCATTTGAATCAGTTCTAATGAGATGGATGAAACTGGAGCCCATTATACAGAGTGAAGTAAGCCAGAAAGATAAAGAACATTACAGCATACTAACACATATATATGGGATTTAGAAAGATGGTAATGATAACCCTATATGCAAAACAGAAAAAAGAGACACAAATGTACAGAACAGACTTTTGGACTCTGGGAGAAGGCGAGGGTGGGATGTTTCGAGAGAACAGCATCGAAACATATATATTGTCTATAGTGAAACAGATCACCAGCCCAGGTTGGATGCATGAGACAAGTGCTTGGGCCTGGTGCACTGGGAAGACCCAGAGGAATCAGGTGGAGAGGGAGGTGAGAGGGGGGATGGGGATGGGGAATACATGTAACTCCAGGGCTGATTCATGTCAATGTATGACAAAACCCACTACAATATTGTAAAGTAATTAGCCTCCAACTAATAAAAATAAATGAAAAAAAAAAAAAAACCAGTAGTGAGATGTCTGGAGTAATACGTCTGTTATACATAAATATGTCCTTGAATTAAGCTCTGTTTTCATCAGTAAACTTTGAATAATTCATTTAACAAGAATGGTCTCAGTACTGAAAAAATGTGATTTGTGCCAATTTTTAACTTAACATATTCTTTTAAGGACAGTAACTGTTCACACAAATTCCTGAGAAATGTATTGCTTTGTATTACTTTGTCATATTAAAATTTCTGTTAGTATGATGTCTATTGCTGTAGACTTGGTATATGAAGATACACTCTTTACAAGTTCAAATGCTTAGTGTTTTGACCTTTTATGTGTATATTTGAATTTAGCATATTTCTACTTCTTATTTTAGTTTAATTATTCTTATTCTAGTTTATCCTGTGACTGTCAGTCATTAAGTCTGATAGGTGGCAGTCTTCAAATCCTTAACTGTAAACCTGAGAAAAAGAAAAAATGGTGGATGCTTTGCGTAGAATTCAGAGGAAGTGTAAATGGTAGATACCAAAACTGTGATTATTGCCTTAATTAAAACTCTTTAAGAAAACCAGACTAATAACTAATATTTGTGTTCTGCCTGTATGTTGGATGAGTACTGTCAGAGTATTAAGTATCACTGTATGGAACCACATGTTATGATAGTATATGATAAGGACATTTCACTTGTATTTGTTAATATTCTTATGGTTTCATCTTATGTTTTCCTAGAATTTCTCTGCAGTATCTAAGTAGTTCTGTGAAAAGCAAGACAAGTAGCCTATTATTATCCGTATTAGTTTTTTTTCAGTTTTTTGTCAGATTATCATGCTATATTTAATACTGTTTCCCAGGTCTCCCTAGAAAGAGAACGACAACATGATCAAACACATGTTCAAAACCAACTTCAAAAATTGGATCTTCTTGAACAGGAGTATAACAAGCTTACCACAATGCAAGCCCTTGCAGAAGTCAGTGAAAATTTCTTCCTCACCTGTGCATAATATTGGTTCTTTTGTAAAAGTGGTCATTTTATAATACTAAATATTTTATAGGAAAAAAGTGACCTTATAGTAAGGAAACATATAGGATTTTTTTTTTTTAAGGAGGAAACATAAATTTGGAGAGAAAGTTCACATTTTACAATAGTAGCGTACCTAAGGAAGGAGTTATTTTTGAAAATATTGACAGATGACATGTTTTCCAGTATCCTTAAGGCTTTGTATCACTTTAAGTTTTTCTCTGAACTAATACTAGTTTTAATTGATTCATTTGGAAGTACTTAATACCACTGAGACTGTAAGGTTCCAGATCCAACTTCCATGTAGCCTACAGGGCTTCATACAGAAGCTGTGTTCTTTGGCCTTGGATTTCGCTCATAATTCTGTTAAATCTTAAGGCAGGGTCATGGATGCTGGCAAGCCCAGAGCTGTTACTAGGGTGAACTCACAGGCTTATATTTACCATGCGAAAATTTTACACTTTCCTGTGTTGCTTATATTAAAATGTTACAAATACACATTGAAACTCTTTTCACTGTTACCACTTTTAATATTTTTATCACTAGAAAAAAATGCAAGAGTTGGAAGCAAAACTCCGTCAGGAAGAACAAGAAAGGAAACGAATGCAAGCTAAGGCAGCCCAGGTAAGTTGAAATGTGAGCAGGTAGGCTCCTCACATTTCCTGCTATTCTTTATATATAAATAGATGTAGATGTGCACTTCTTTGATAATTTATATTTCAGAATGGCCCAGTATATAAATTTGCAGATTTAGCTTATTGTGAAAAATTTAGACATTTTTATAGGCAGATAGTAAAAACTGAGCAATTCTTTAGGGTTTTTCCAGTTGTGGGCTTTCAGCCAGCTTTTTTTTTTTTTTTATCAATAGACTAAAAAAAATCAGAATCTATACCCACAATCATATAAAACTTTATAGTTGTATAAAACTTTTCACATAATAGTCACCATTGGAAATGTTTGAAAGTATCCCGTCATTCAGTCATTCAGTATCCGTCATTCAGTATCCCTTCTTGTAAGTGCTTCTCTTTTTTGGTGGCCTCCAGATGCCAGGTCAGTAGTGAAGGTAGTGGGCTGCCCAGTAGTTGATGACCTGTACTAATTCACTAAAGCCACCATATGAGGAAAATGAACTCTGCTGATTTGTAGCCCTGGATTTTTATCCCATGCAGTGGTCACCAGGTGGGATAGGTGAGGCAGTGTGATGATCTGAGTGTTTCTCACAAACTCAAGACAATTTTGTTTCATAGGCAGGTTTGAAAACCACTGTTGTAGACAACACACACACATATATATGTATATACATATGCATATAATTAATATTTTTAAGGAGAAGTTGAAAACAGCAGCCCTTTTTGAAACCCTTAGTAGTTGCTTGTGGAATTTCTACTATATTAAATTAATGGAGTTACTAAGCTTCTAGGGAAAGGGCTTGATTCCATTCTCTGGCATGCCTTCCAGTTCTTTTGGACATGGATTTCCAGCTCCTTTTTCTTAGGTTAACCATGTGAGCTTTTGAAAGAGGAAGATGGTGCTTTGTGTCCAGCTGCTTTGTGTCTGGCATTGTTGTACATGCTGTGTGTGAAAAGAAGAAGATGCTGAAGCATTGGTTGAGTTAGAAATACTAGCTTTAACTCGTTAGATAAAACTTAAGGACCAACCTCAAATAAGGAACTAAAAGGAGCCAGGCTAAGTGAAAGGACAAATTATAGGACAGTACTTCAAGATGAAATGAGAGTGGTATTGATTTAAAATATTGGACAAGTGTTCACAGATTGACTCAAGACATAGTTACATAGCTATGACTAGACACAGTTACATAGCTGTGATATGTTTTTTAATCTGTACTATATGATACTACTGTAGGTTTTGTATAGGCCTTTACATGGCATTGAATCATAACTTTTATTTCTTCAGTATTTAACTTTAGGCTTTCATATTTTTCCTAGTTGCAGACTGGTCTAGAAGTAAATAGACTTATCTATCAAGATAAGGCAACTTCATGTGTTCCCAATACAAAAAGAATTAAAAAAAAGAAGTCAAAACCACCAGAAAAGGTATGAAAAAAGAACCGTAAGGTACTGGTTATTGCTTGGCATAGTTTATGTGAAAGTACTCATAAACCATGTGGTCCTTCAATCTTGGATGAGTAAATCTGTTTCATTCTAAGTTTCTTCTTTGGGAAAATGGGGATAAGTAATACCTACTTATAAATTTTAACCCTAACAGTGAGATAATTAATATGAAAACATTTTAGAACTACATAGCACTGCACAAATATTAGTTATTATTCAGTATTGCATTAATTACCCTTTGCTCTTAAAAGTTTGTGTGTATATACATATGTACATGCATATAGACACAGAGAATTTCTTTTCTGAGACTGTAACTGCTGTTTTGTCGGGTACTATTTTTTTTCTTTCTTAGCCTTTCTTTAGGGTAAGATGTGTGTTGACAAGTATTATTAGGAGCACTGGCTGTAATACCAGTAGAGATAAAAAAGCAGGATCCCAGCAGTTACCTGAAATCTCAGGTTAGTCTTACATAGGCAGCTCTTATCGGCATGTGAGTAAAATTGCTTTTCTTTTTTCTTTTCCTTGCAGAAGGGTTCTAGGAACTATTTTGCTATACAGCCACATTATCGATTATGCTTGGGTGATATGCCATTTGTAGCTGGAAAGGTGAGTTGGTTGAACTCTGAATTTTTTTGTACAACTTAGATCTTTAAATTAAATCCACTCATTTGCCCGTATACCTATAAATGGTGAAAACATTATTCTGCTTTTTTACCAAGGGATCCTAGTGTTGTAAGAAAGAAATGGAAGAAAGTTTTATAGGACTGGGGCGCAGGGGGAAACCTTGGTGGGACACTTTAAAGCTGGTGAAGTGTATGTGGAAGGAAGTAATGAATAAAAGCAGAGCCCCTGGTTTGGTGAAGGTATGGTTATGGATAGGAAAGGAAATGGGAAACTGTATATTTGTAGCACTGGAATTTTCACATCAGCCCTGTTGATTCGTATTTAGGTATAGATTGAAGATATTTAAATGAAAAGAAGTCACGTCCTCTTTGTCCTCACATGCTTATTACTTAAGGATTGATTCTCCAAGAAGCAGCCATACATAGTCTTGAATCTTAAGTTCCTTTAGTGCTTAAAAATGTGGAGATGGTGAATTTGTCAAATACCAGCAAGTACTGGATGATTTCTAAGAAGTGCTTAACATTGTGTTAGTTTTTACTACTTTTTTCATTAATGTTTGTGTTGCTGGCTGTTTCAGTACCTTGAATACCCAACTCTAGATAGTGAGTTTGAGAGGCTTGAGGAATAAGTTTTATTTATTTATTTTAACCCACAGTAAATTCTCAGTGAAAGCTTGGGGAAGGAACAATTTCCTTTTCCACTTGTCCTTTGTAGATCTGTGTGGCAGAAATCATTATTTAAAAATTTTGCCATTGGCTGTTCTTTACCCTAAATTTAATCTCTTCTTGGATTGCAGATATCTTTTGACCTACATTTTTTCTTGTATCTGTTGCTTCTAACCATGGTTCTGCTTTGCCATAGAATCTCTGAGTTGGGTTTGAAACAGTTTCTCAAAGGATGACCAGCTGTATCAGAATCATTGACTATGCACTTGAAAAAGCAGATTATGAAGCCTTGCCACATTCTACTAAATCAGAATTGTGCAGGTGTGGAGCCTAGAAAGTATATTTAATTGGTGCCCAGTCTCAATATCTGATGTTCAGTTATATTTGGAACCCATTTAATAACAGTTCCCTGTCCACTGTTTTCATTATGTAAACATTCAGCATAATGGTCCTGGACTCTGTCCAAACACCCAACTTATGAAACCTCATTATACCTCAGACAGCCCTTCATGTTTCCATACGGCTTTACTTGGAAATGCTTAAATGACATGAAATCTGTTGCTGTAAATTCTACTCAGTGGGATTTATTCTGCTCTCAGGGATCCACATAGATGATGATGTAGATGACCCAAATAAAGCCTTAACTATACGAAAATTTTGAAACTTTTGAAGATAGCTTTATTTTTATTCTTACCTTCTTCTTCTAGGTTACTAAATCTTTTTCTTCAGCAATTCATGATAAGATGTGCTTTGTGAGTTTCTTAACCACTTCATCACTCCGTTCCTTCCTAAATCGAATATATGCCTCTCAGTGTGTGACTAGCGCAGAACAGAGTGTCATGTTCTGGAGGTCTGGGAATTCAGCTTAGTATCGAATTCATGTTACAGGGAAGCCATAGCATCCCTTTAACTCATTAATTCCAGAGTCAACTAAAGTTGACTTTTACTCAGGTCTTTTACCTAGTCTTAGCATCAGCCTTTCTAGGTCCTGTATTTGTGGAATTGATTTTTTTACACAGAATTTTTAATTAAATGAAGCACTATAGAAACCGATTCACCCTAACCCATGTTAGATTAGAATCTAGTTCAGTCTTATGTTATATTTGTATTATCCCCAAATTTAATTTGCTTATATTTGGTAATTTCCATTGAAGTCATTAATACAGAGATTGAACAGGGCAGGTTCAAAGATAGAGTTTTTCAACCCAAGGTCGTTTTGTCTTTTTTCAACTTTTAAAATTTTAATTGGAGCCTAATTATAGTACTTCGGTGGTTTTTGCCATACATTGACATGAATCAGCCCTGGGTGTACATGTGTCCCCCATCCCAAACCCCCCTCACTCCCCATCCCATCCCTCCGGGTCGTCCCAGTGCACCAGCTTTGCATGCCCTGTTTCTGCATCGAACTTGGACTGGCGCTCTTTTTCACAAATGGTAACACACACGTTTCAGTGCTGTTCTCTGAAATCATCCCACTCTTGGCTTCTCCACAGAGCCAGTGTGACAATGTTGTGAGAGTCTCAGGTGCCCTGAGGTCTTCAGAAGTTATAATTTGTGCTTTCTGTGAGATACTGCTCAGGCAGCTAACAACGTGCTGTCAATTTGAGTATGTCCCAAACTGTCTAGTGTGAGGGCCAGTTACTTTTATTTATACATTGTCATAAACTAATACACTTGTAAAATGCAATAAAAGTTAATTGCTAGGAAAAAATGAAATTTAAGACAAAATACAAGTTCCAGTTTTTTCATTTCTAAATTCAATAGACATAAAATATCTTAAGGAGAGTCAGAAAAATAACAGAAAAAAGAGTTTCAAAATTCTTTAAGCTCTTCTAGTTCCTTTGTCTTTGCATGTGAATTTTAGAATAAACTTCTCTACCAAAAATATGTCTTGCTGGGATTTTGATAGGAACTGTATTAGTTTGGGAGAATTGACATCCTTGTTGATAGCTGTGAGAATGGTGTATCTCTTACTTACAACTCTTACTTTCAATGTATTAGTCCCATACCAGTTTTGTTATATTTGTATTCAATTTTTTTTGAGCAGTTGTGAATTGTGTTGAGTTTCAACTTGTTTCTACATGATCATTAGTAGTATATTGGGCTTTGTATGTTAATCTTCATTCTGTTACCTTGCTGAATTCACTTATTAGTCCTAGGAATTTTTTTTATATTATTATTTACTTAAGCTTTTCTGTGGCATCACTGACTCAATGGACATGAGTTTGAGTAAACTCCAGGAGTTGGTGTTGGGCAGGAAGGCCTGGCGTGCTGCATCCATGGGCTCAAAGAGTCGGGCACAACTGAGCAACTGAACTGACTGAACTGAAGATTTTCTATGTAAAAAATGATGTCATATGTAAATAAGGATAGTTTATTTCTTCCTTTCTAATTTGTGTACCTTTTTACTTCTCTCGCATTACTGCACTGGCTAGGATTCCCTGTATCATGTTGTCAGTAACAAAGATGAGAGTGGACATCCTTGCCTTTTTCTGGTCTTCAGGGGAAAGCATTCAGTCTTTCACCAATAAGTATGATATTAGGTTTAGGCTCTTTGCCTATGCTGTTCATCAGCTTGAGAAAATTTCTCTCTGTTCCTAGTTTGCTGAAAGTTTATACCCTTAATGGGTTTTGGAGTTTTTCACATGCTTTTTTCCATCAAGTGATAATGGTTATGTGGTTTTTTTTTCCTCACCTTGTTGATTTGCTGGATTACATGGATTCATTTTCAAATACTGAACTATCCTTGCATCCCCAGAATAAACCCCACTTGGATGTGGTATATGCATCTTCGTATGTATACATGTACACTCAGTTGTGTCTGACTCTTTGCGACCCCGACAGCAGCCTGCCAGGCTCCTCTGTCCATGGAATTCTCTTGGCAATAATGCTAGAGTGGGTAGCCATGCCCTCCTCCAGAGAATCTTCCCAACCTAGGTATCGAACCCAGGTCTCCTGCATTGCAGGCAAATTCTTTACCACCTGAGCCACCAGGAAAGCTATATATATACATTACTAAATTCTATTTGCTACCTAACCATAAAAAACTAGGGTAAACAAAGCATCTGTTAAACTTAGCAGAGTGGTTTGCAAACCTGGCTGATCAGAATCAATTTAAATGTACATTTAAATGCAAACTTTAAATGTACATTTCTAAGCCTTGACCCTGCACTGATTGAGTAGGGAGTGCTGCCCAGGAATCTGCATTTTAAACAGTCTGTCTAGCTGATGCTTATGGAGCCAAGTTGGGCCAACTATCTGTTTATACATTGAAATTTCACATTGAGACATTGTTTAGTATTCAGAGCAAGAAAGTTTTGAGAGGGCTGTCAGGTTTTCCCTGTTGTTTATATGACAGACATGAACTGAGTGCTTCCTACTAGAGGGTAAAATGAATATGGTAACAGCCTCTGTCACCTGGAAGTACTTACACTGTTTAATAGGTGAGATAGACATGCAAATACAGTTAACAATCTACTGTGACAAATGCTGTGATAGATGCCATAGGTCATCTGAGATTAGACCAATTAATTAACTGGAGGTTTTAAGAAAGTCTTTACAAATCATATATTTGAATGGTGTATTTTTCTTTTTAATGCTATAAAAATTGGCACATGAAAGAAATGGCATATGCAAATACAGTTTATTGAAAGAGTGGCGAGCAGGCAGGAGACAGTGGGACATAAGGCTGAGGTGTAGAAGTTGCAGCTTAGTGTCCACAGGGCCTTGATTTCTGTGCTGAGGAGTTTGTACATTTAGAGTCAGCGGGCCTAACATCAGAAGAACATGACCAGAATAATATTTTAGGAGGACAGCTGATAGCACTATGGAGTCAAGAGACGGGGAACAGGGGGACAGACAGTTGGGATGTTCTTCTGTAACTGACAGAGATGGGCACATAAGCCACATGTGTGACAGTAGGGTGGAGAGTAAGAGGCAGGCTGGAAATGCACTTGTAGTGTCAGAAGTTTGTATCATAGGGTTTTTTGTGGGGAAGGAAGGAGTCTTTTTACCCAGGTAAGGGGGTAAAACATTTTTCCAGAAGATGTGGCTCAATTACTTCTCTTTTCTTCAGTCCACCAGCCCCAGCCACGCGGTGGTAGCCAATGTTCAGCATGTCCTGCATCTAATGAAGCAACACAGTAAAGTCTTGTGCAACGATCGAGTAGTCAGCAGTATTCCTTTGGCAAAACAAGTGTCGTCACGAAATGGGAAGAGCAGGAAGTCAGCAACGCCTCCCTCCACTAGCAGTGTTAATGAAGAGCTGTCTGAAGTCCTGCAGACTTTACAAGATGAATTTGGGCAAATGAGCTTGTGAGTTTTGGTGTTTTGTTTTTTTTTTAATTCCATTTAATTCTAAAACCTCATTTTAACATCTTGGTGACTTTAATAATTCTATCATATTTAAATACTTTAAGAAATATTTACTGAACACAATCATTTTACCAACCACTCAACAAGTTACTAGGACTTGAACAAATAACACCTCTTCTGGGCGAAGTATCTCCTTTTTCTATTACTTTTAAATGTTTTGAAGACCAAGGTTTATATTCAAGTTTTTTTTCCTTGTTTGGGAGCTTGTTATACGTTGAGTTTAGCTAAACGTAACTGATAAGTTAGGAAATGAGTGAGTGAAGGACAAGAATCCTTCTCTAGACTTTCCTTTTCTACATGATGTAATGCTCTGTGGGGGAGATAGGTAATTAGTGCTTTAAACTCTTTTTCCCTTGCCTCTGGTACCCATTTTGGGCTTAATGGGGAACTTTGCTCTATTTGAAAAAATTGAGTCACTTTTTAATCGGTAAAGCAGGCATCCTATGGTGAGGGAGATGTAGTGGACTTAGCCGTGTAACATAGGAAACCTAACTAAGACCTTTTTCTGTTTTTTATATAGTGATCACCAGCAGCTTGCAAAACTTATCCAAGAATCACCAACTGTTGAACTGAAAGACAACCTAGAGTGTGAACTGGAGGCATTAGTGGGAAGGATGGAGGCAAAAGCCAATCAAATAACTAAAGTTCGAAAATACCAAGCCCAGGTAACTGTTTTCCTTTATTCATTTCTAATGATTAAAAAACAAGAGTTAAAAAAGACAAAAAAACCCTTTCCATCAAATATATTGATGACATTGTATCATAGATAGCTATAAGAAACATTTCCTTATTGTAGATACTTATTAATTCAGTTCATTAGTTATTAAGAGTTGGTGTTAAGCAGGCTAGGAAGACACTGTCTTGTAGTCTCTTCGAGTAGATTTTATCATCTGAAATACATCTTCCAAATACTGAATATATTTCATATTCTTCCATGAATGAGATTTATCTGTGTTTGGCTGTTCTGGGTCTTCATTGCTTTTGGTGGGTGTGGCGCGTGGGCTCGGTCATTATGGTCTGCAGGATCACTAGCTTGCGGTACGCTTAGTTGCCCCGAGACATGTGGGATCTTCTGGGAACCGTGTTCCGTGCACTGGCAGGCAGATTCTTCACCACTGGACTACCAGGGAAGTCTGTTTTCTGTACATTAGACTTACCTTTTTCTAATTGAACACCAGCAGCAATTTATTTTAGCCAACAGCTAAAGTAAAAATAAAGCTCCCTCTTTGAAATTAAATTATTCTAAAAGATAATAAAATTAAAAATCCTTTTCATAGTATTAATACATAACCATTACATTCCATCTATCCAGAACATGCTACTCTCTGCTCAGACTAGTTTGGAGAATGCCTTTCTCCCCCTCACTTATTTAAAATCCTTGTCTTCCATTATCTGTGTGGGAGATTTTTGCCTTCTCCTTGAGAACGTCCCCCCAAACCCTCTTGCTTCTTACATATCCTGTTCTGCATTTGGCAGCATTATCTTAACTTCTGGTATAGCACCAGAATTAATGTTTTTCCTCTTGTTTACATGTTTTTATGTCACTGTATACTAGTACAATAGGTTTTTGAAGGCTTAAAAAAAAAAAACAGAAAATACATATATATATATATATGCGCGTTTTAGTTAGTATGAGAGTTAAAAATACCAGTTTTTGCAAGCATATGTTTTTATTAATTTTTCCTTTTTCTTCCTCGCATTGGTTTTTTGGTATAGCTGGAGAAACAAAAGTTGGAGAAGCAGAAGAAGGAATTAAAAGCCACCAAAAAGACTCTTGATGAGGAAGGAAACAGCAGCAGCCATTCTACAACGACGGGGACCACAAATAAGAAGGACTTTGCCAAACCGAGACCTGGAGAAAAAAGCAGGAAAAATCTTCAATTATTGAAAGATATGCAATCCATACAGAATTCATTACAAAGCAATAGTTTGTGTTGGGATTACTGACTGTTACCAGGTCATAAATTTTATTCACATAATTTGTACCTCATCACTCTTATGTTGAAATTAATTAATAGCAGACATTTAGGGACCCAGGCTTCATTACACAGGCTTGTGCCACATATCACAACTAAATGTTAAGCCATCTAAACGGAAACTGGGGGTAGTTTTCAAGGCCAAGAAGCCACACATACTGTTCCTTTGTTTGAGATGAATTTGCTGTACTGAGATATTGCACTTTGTAAACAAATTACCAGTTTTTTACTTGTGGGTGTGATTTTTTTTAATAGTTCTATTATATAAGTAAAATTAGGTTTAAATTATCAAAGTATGAGGCTATCCCATAGGCAGTGTTTGTTTGAAAAGTCTCATTTTTAAATCTTTCTGGCATGAATCACCTGCTTTTGCTTTTCAATACAACCATTAAATACACTCCATTTCGACTACTGATGGAGGTTTTCTATGTTTAAATATTTGTAAGTATTTAAGACGATTGCTTTGTTTTGCTTTTTGACATTACAGACATTGGTCAGTATTAAATACACTTGCATTGATGTTAATTCACCATTAAAATTTTTAAAGATGCATTCATTTTAAATCAGTTAAATGTGAAAATCACAAAAGCATTGTTAATGACGTAAATGAGGTTTTGGAATGAAGAGAGAAAGGGAGGTGTTGTAAAGTATATATACATATGTATTTTTAGATAATACCTGTTTGTAATCATGCTGTTCATTTCAAGGCATTATTGTTTTTAATCTTAAACTCAGAATCCCCTGATTATTTAATTTTATTTGTGTACAGTGTGAGTGCAGTATTAACTGTACACATGTAACTGTCATTGTTAATAATGTGAATCATAGTTTTGAATAGTTCAAGACATGTTAACTTTATAAAATCGCCACTGAAATCAATAAAGCAGCTTTTTTAAGGAAACACTGAAATTTTCCTTAGCAGCCTGTTAATAAAGGCTTTATTTGTTGTAATCTCTCCAAAAAAAATAATTTTTAAATAGACCATTAATTTATGAGAAACAGTAAGAATATATGGTATTTAATACATAATTTGCCTTTTTCACGCTTACATAGAAACCAGGTCCAACAAAACTGAAGTATCTCACGTTATATAAGATACTGTTATTGTTAAGCCTCAGTCACGTCTAACATTTTGCAGCCCCATGAACTGCAACACGCCAGGCCTCCCTGTCTTTCACTATCTCCCGAGTTTCCTCAAACTCTTGTCTGTTGAGTTGATGATGCCATCCAGCCATCTCATTCTCTCTCACCCCTTTCTCCCCCTGCTTTCAATTCCTCCAGCATCAGGGTCTTTTCCAATGAGTCAACTCTTTGCATGAGGTGGCCAAAGTATTGGAGCTTCAGCGTTAGTTCTTCCAGTGAACACCCAGGATTGATCTCCTTTAGGATGGACTGGTTGGATCTCCTTGCAGTCCAAGGGACTCTCAAGAGTCTTCTCCAACACCACAGATCAAAAGCATCCATTCTTAGGTGCTCAGCTTTCTTCACAGTCCAACTCTCACATCCATATATGACCACTGGAAAAACCGTAGCCTTGACCGGACAGACCTTTGTTGGCAAAGTAATGTTTCTGCTTTTTCATATGCTGTCTAGGTTGGTCATAACTTTCCTTCCAAGGAGCAAGCATCTTTTAATTTCATGGTTGCAGATTTTGGAGCCCAAGAAAATAAAATGTCATGGTTTCCATTGTTTCCCTATCTATTATGAAGTGATGTGACCGGATGCCATGATCTTGGTTTTCTGAATGTTGAGCTTTAAGCCAGCTTTTTCACTCTCCTCTTTCACTTTCATCAAGAGGCTCTTTAGTTCCTCTTCAGTTTCTGCCGCAGGGTGATGTTACCTGCATATCTGAGGTTATTGATATTTCTAGCAACCTTGATTCCAGCTTGTGCTTCATCCAGCCCAGCATTTCACATAATGTACTCTGCATATAAGTTAAATAAGCAGGGTGACAATATACAGCCTTGATGTACTCCTTTCCCAATTTTGTGCTAGTGTGAACACATTGACTAGACATTAAAGAGACTCCCTTTTGCCTGGGATCGAAATGGAGTTCCAGGATTTTATCTAGACAAGCAGCATGAAATGCAGTGGCTATGTGGTCACTAAGCGTATTACGCCTTTTACTGCATTGACTATGCATTTCGGGACAGCGGTGGGTGGCGTGTGTACTGTGGTGGTGGAGAGGGAGGCGGGGCCTGGCAGAGAAGGGAGTGATGAAACGAGGATCATTTCCTGGAGAAGGCAGTGATGCCTAGCCTACACAACAGGAATGACCTTCAGGGAGAACAGTCTCAGGTCAACAAGAACAAAAATGAACAAAGATGGCAGGCATCTGGGAGAACTGGGACCAGTTGAGTAGTACTTGTACATAAAAGTTGAGTTTATGCCAATGAGAACAGAAGGGTAAGCAGACAAGTGCCAGGAGACTCAGGAGCTTTGACTTAACTACACAGGTTTCTCTGTAAATTTCATATCCCTAATCACAAAGGAGAAAGTACACCTATGCAACCAATAGATAAAGTTAGAAAACAACTGTAGATATAAAAGTTGCTAACACTGCTCTCCCCAGCTTTCAGCTTTTAGTTCTGTTAGGAATATCTTTATTACAAGTGTGTTTTGTTTGTTAACACTTCATTACATGCACTACAGAGTGGGTATCACTTGCATGCACTGAAATAACACTGCTGAATACAGCGTCAAGTAGCTTTGTCAGAAACAATCTTTATTAAATCTTCCTAAATACTTAACTATAACTACATGCATTTCAAAATGGGTGAATATCACTTCCAATCCCTGAAATGACACTTCTGGAACACAGCTTGGGAATAGCTTTGTTAGAAACATCTTTATTGTAAGGTTTTCACATTGAACAAATTTGACATGTAACATTGTACAAATTCAAGGTATATAGTGTTACTTTGATACATTTATATATTATAATACAATTGCCACTGTAGTGCCATCTATCACATTATATAACTATAGTTCAATATTATCTGCATTCACTATATTGTGCATTATCTCTATGGGTTATTTACTACTTGTTGCAAGTTTGTACCCTTAACATCAATCTTGTCCCTCTAAACTCCATCTCCTGGCAACCACTATTTTATTGATTTCTGTAAGTTTGACATTTTTAGATTCAACATATGAGACCATACAGTGTGTTTCTCTGACTTATCTCCGCGTAATGTGCTCAGGGCTCCTCCATGTTGTTGCAAATGACTGGAATCCTTTCTCAAGGCTGAATAATATTCTGTGTGTATATATCCACTATTTGTATCCATTCATCCACTGACGGATTTAGGTTGCTTCCGTATCTTGGCTGCTGTGAATAATGCTGCAGTAAACGTGGGAATAATGCATTATTTTCTTTGAAAAACTATTTTCATTTACTTTGGTTCTTTACCTGGAAGTATGAGATCTATTTTTGATTTTTTGATGAGCCTCTGTATTTTATATAATAGTGGGACCAGTTTACATTCCCATCAACAGTGTACAGTTAACCCTTGAACAGCATTTCTGCGTCCACAGATTCACCCTCAGATCATGTAGTGCTGTAGTACCTAATTACTGAAAACATCCAAGTGGACCCGCACAGTTCAAACCTCTGTTTAACTGGCAGCTATATAAGGGTTCCCTTTCCTCCACATCCTCACCAGCACCTGTTATGTATCTTCTTGATGAGACCATTGTAACAGGTATGAGGTGGTCCCTCCTGGTTTTTAGTTCCATTTCCCTGCAGATTAGGCATGCTGAACATCCCTTCATGTACCATGGGCCACTCTGATGTCCTCTTTGGAAAAATGTCCATTTAGTTTTGTCCATTTTTTATTTGGATTTTTTTCATTGTTACTAAGTTATGTGTTTGTTTAAATATATCTTGGATATTAACCTCTTATTTAATACAGTGTAAGTCCCATACGTATGAACTAGTTCCATTCCAAGAGCACATTCGTGAGTCCAATTTGTAAGTACAACGAAGTTAGCCTAAGTACCCAACTTACAGAATTGGTTATACACCACTGCTTTTATGCTTGCTTCTGTACATCCTGGGCTTGAAATAAAGTACTGTACACTGTATGGTAACATACAGCAAAGTACACAAACGCATAGCCAATTGTAGAGGATGCAGGCACATGATTATGTAGCCCAGAAACATGAACTTGGACCTGATTGGACCTGTGAAGGCCTGTTTGCATCTGTGAGAGTTCCCAGCTTGCAGGTTTGTTATAGAGGAGACTTACTGTATGTGGTGTGTAAAAATTTTCTCCCATTCACTAGGCTATTTTTTCATCTTTTGTCTCTTTTGCTGTACGAAGCTTCTGAGTTTGATGTAGTCTCCTTTGTTTTCTGCTTCTGTTGTTTGTGCCTTTGGCATCATGTCCCAAAAAGTCATTGCCAAGACCAATATTGAGCATCTTCCCTTCTAGAAGTTTTATGGCATCAGGTCTTATGTTTAAGGCTTTGATCCATTTCAAGTTAATTAATGTATGATTTATGTTAATATATTCAAAGCAGGCCTTCTTTGATTACACTTCAAAAATTTCCCCTCGTTGCCTTATTAGTATCACATTAGGCTGTTTTATTCACAACACTTAGCACTATTTAAGTTTTGTGAATGGTGTTAGATAGGCACCCAATTTGGGCTTCCCGGGTAGCTCATCTGGTAAAGAATCCACCTGCAGTGCAGGAGACCCTGGTTTGATTCCCGGGCCAGAAAGCTCCCCTAGAGAACAGATAGGCTATCCACTCCAGTATTCCTGGGCTTCCCTGGTGGCTCAGATGGTAAAGAATCTTCCTGCAATGCAGGAGACCTGGGTTCGGTCCCTGGGTTGAGAAGATCCTCTGGAGGAGGGCGTGGCAACCCACTGCAGTGTTCTTGCCTGGAGAATCCTCATGGACAGCAGAGCCTGGTGGGCTACAGTCCACAGGGTGGCAGAGAGTCGGACACGACTAAGCACAGCACAGCACAGGCATCTGATCTGGTTGGTTCTGCATGTTTCTCCAGTATCCCAGAACTTTGCTGAAGAGACTACCTTTCCCCACTGGGTGTTCCTGGCTCCCTCATCAAATGTTCGTTGACCGGTCAGCTTCGCTGGTGACTCAGATGGTAAAGAATCTGCCTGCCATGCAAGAGACCCGAGTTCGCTCCCTGGGTCAGGAAGATCCTCTGGAGAAGGGAAGGGCAGCCCAGCCCAGTGTTCCTGCCTGGAGAGTCCCATGTACAGAGGAGCCTGGCGGGCCACAGCCCATGGGGTCAGAAAGAGTTGGACACGACTGAGCTACTAACACTTTCACTTTTCTCTCAGTGGGATTTAATTCTGGTCTTTCTATTCCAGTGGGCAGTGTGTCTATTTTTTGTGCCAGTAACATACTGTTTTTATTACTGTGGTTTTGTATTAATAGTATAGTTTCAAATCTGAAAGCACGATTCCCACAGCTTAGTTGTTTTTACCCAGGATTGTTTTGGCTATTTGGGGTTTGGTTTTGTGGTTCCACAAAAATTTTTGGATTGTTTCTTCTGTGTCTGTAAAGAATGCATTTGGTATTTTCATGGGAACTGCATTCAATCTATAGATAGCTTTGAGCAGTAATGGTCATCTTAACAATTTTAATTCTTCCAGTTTAAGGGCATAGGATGTGTTTCCATTTGTGTCCTCTTTGATTTCCTTCAACAAAGTCTTGTAGTTTTCATTGTACAGATCTTTCACTTCGTAGGTTAAACTTTTCCTTGATAGTTTATTGCTTTTAATGCTATTTTGAGTGGGATAGTTTTTAGGTACTTCATCATTAGTGTAAAGGAATACAACTGACTTCTGCATGATATAACTTTATTGAAATTGTTGATTAGTTCCAAAAGTTTTTTGGTTGACACGATTAGATCCATATAAAATCAGATCATCAGCAAATAGAGAAGTTTACTTTCTTTCCTGATTTGGATGCCTTTTCTCTGTCTTGCCTGGCTGCTCTAGCTAGGAACTCCAATACTATAATGAACAAGCGTGGTGACAGTGGGCTTCACAGTCTTCTTGATCTTAGAGGGAAAACTTTCAGCATCTCTCCATTGGTAGCTGTCAGTTTGGGGTATACAGCCTTTACTGAGGTATGTTCATTTTTTACCCAATCTGCTAAAATTCAGCACCCTTTCTTATCATGAAAGGATGTTGTATTTTGTCATGAAAGATGTTTATCTTTTTTTGCATCTACTGAAATGGCCATGTAGTGTTTCTTTCACTTTATTGATGTGCTATATTACATTTATTGATTTGCATATGTTAAACCATCCTTGCATACTACGGATCAGTCCCATTTGGTCATAGTATATAATCCTTTTTATGTGTTCTTGAGTTTGGTTTGCTAACGTTTGGTTGAGAATTTCTGTATCTATATTCAGCAGAGATAGGAGTCTAGTTTTCTTGTATCCTCATCTGGTTTTGGTATCAATGTATTGCTGGCTTTGTAGAAGAATTTGCGATTGTTCCCTCCTCCTCAGTATTTGCAAGTGTTTGGAGGAAGATTGTGTTGATTCTTTTTATGACTGGTAGAATTCACCACTGAAGCTTGCTTCCTGACCTGCATATAGGTCTCTCAAGAGGCAGGTCAGGTGGTCTGGTATTCCCGTCTCTTGAAGAATTTTTCACAGTTTGTTGTCATCCACACAGTTAAAGGCTTTAGTGTAGTCAATGAAACAGAAGTAGAGGTTTTTTCTGGAATTTCTTTGTTTTCTATGATCCAACGGATGTTGGCAATTTGATCTCTGGTTCCTCTGCCTTTTCTAAATCCAGCTTGTACATCTGGAGTTCTTGGGTCATGTACTATTGAAGCCTAGCTTAAAGAATTTTGAGCATTACCTTACTAGCATGTGAAATGAGTACACTTGGGCAGTAGTTTGAACATTCTTTGGCACTGCCCTTCTTTGGGATGGAATGAAAACTGACCTTTTCCAGTCCTGTGGCCCGTGCTGAATTTTCCAGATTTGCTCACAGATTGAGTGCAGCACTTTCACAGCATCATCTTTTAGTATTTTAAAGAGCTCAGCTAGAATTCCATCTTCTCCACTACCTTTGTTTGTAATAATGCTTCCTAAGGCCCACCTGACTTCACACTCCAGGGTGTCTGGCTCTAGTTGAGTGATGACACCATTGTGGTTATCCCAGTCATTAAGACCTTTTTTGTATAGTTTTTCTGTGTACTTTTGCTATCTGTTTTTAAAATTTTCTGCTTCTGTTAGGTCCATACCATTCCTGTCCTTTATTGCTAATATTGGATATATTAATAACAGAAATTATACTCATTGCAAAATCAAGAGCAGGGCATAGGTTCAGTCTACTGAGTTAACGAGTAAAAAAATGCTATTTTTGAGTATTATTTATTGGTTCAAATTGTACACATCTCTTTTTTTGGCTGCAGCATGTAGGATCTTAGTTCCCTGATCAGGGATGGAACCTATCCCCCCTGCAGTGGAAGGGCAAAGTCCTAATCCCTGGACCACCAGGAAATTCCTTATCAGTTCAAATTGAACATTTAAAGCAGCTGCTATGAAACATCCTTTTCTCAAAAAAAAACACAAAATTTCAAACATTTCTGCGTATGAAACTTAAGACAACTTAGAACAAGGACAAAGTTTAAAAGTCAGCTGAAATTTTCTTTTAATTAAAGACCCAAGGGACAAGAAGCTCCTTTGTGTTACAGTACATAACATATGGCTCTTATACAGAGTAAAACAGACACCAGGGAGTCGACTGTTCATACCAGCGCTAGACTCTTACTGTAGCAGGCCAAAAGTGAGGCAGGGCTTCCCTTACTGGCATGGAGACTGTAATACATCTTTACATGCAATAAGTTCTTTGGTAGACTTAATCATTTGGTGGAATTACAGAATTTGCAAAGGAAAGTAGCAGTAAAATATTTCATGTAAAATTTGAGCACAGTACTTCTCATCATATGCTCTTTATACAAACTTCATAAAAATGTCAATCCTCCTAAACTTTTAAGTAGAACCTCAAAACTCACCCATTAACTTCTGTCTTCAAACCCATACAAAAAAGTAAATAAGATAAAGAAGGGCAGATAATGAGTTTTTAAAATACGTTTCATGATGTTTCCAGTAACTGATCTGAAGGATGTGGAACTCTGAAATCCTCGACGGCTGCCACTTTCTCCTCTGCAGTCTCCTCCTAAGCACAACTGTAAGGCATCGTTTTGGAATAGCTACCTAATATATCTTAAATTAAGCACATAAATAATGACGGCAATAATTTTCAACTACTACTACATCGTAATATCCTCGATATCACATACCCTATTACATATGAAGAACACAGGCTTTGAATGGTAAAAGTAAATTACTTACTACAAAAAAGAAAAACCCATGATGTTGAGAAAGGAGCATCAACTCCTCTTGATTTATCTACATGGGGCCCAGTATGTCCAAGTCCAAGGAATGTGGGGACTGGTTTGAAGACTGATGCTCCACCTTCTGTGCAGTGAGCGCTGTTCCGTCAAGAAGTGCTGTTCTCAAGTGGTTTGTGTTTTGATTTTAGCAGACACCAAGACTTCTGAAACAGTATTTTCCTTTGAAAATCAGAAACTTGTTCCCACTGTGGAGCCAGGATTCAAGCATTTTAATATTCTTTGGGCGACTTAGAAGATTAGTGTTGTGATCATGTAATTACACGTGAGGTTATTTCCCTTAAACCATCTGCACTGCTACAGCATGAACTCATCCTAGAGAGCTCTGAAATAAATAAAGTGGCTGAAGTTCTCTCACAGACGGCTTCTCTGCTCGGAAGCCCTCCTCCTCACGAAGCTGCCACTGTCGGCAGAGTTCACGGCGCCGCCACCCTATGGAGCGCCTCTCACACGACCGTCTGCACAGGCGTGCCGCACTGTGCCGGAGAGCCAGCCCTCTCTGACGATGAGGTTGATCGGTTGGAAATCTCTCTCTGGAGCTCCTCTACCTTCTTCTGAAGCTCTGCCCGTTTAGCGAGAAGTTCTTTGTATCTGTTGTGAATGGGCTCCTACAAGAGCAATACACCATAAAATTACTTAACTAAGCAATCCGGAACAAACCCGAAGTCAAATCACTCTGGTATTTAGCTTCGTCCCTAAATGTTCAGTACGTGCTTTCAGCTATGGGACCATGCCCACCTTTCCCGAACATCAGTGAAAATTAACTTCAGTGACTCCACTGACCCACAGCTCTTTCACTGGCCTCCTTGGTCTCCCCAGGCGTTTCCACAGGACACCCTGAGACTGGTGCTTGGCCAAATACAACAAATAATTAAGTAACAACATAATCTAAAAGCCAATACTTAAAGATTTCCTGTCATTTCATTGCAGACTTTTAGTACTTTAAACAGTTCTAGGCAGCAAATATTCTGTAACATTTTAAAAAATGGACTAGAATTTGGTGAGGCTTTTAACTCTCCTAAAGCCATTTCCCCCAACCTCTAGAAGTTATCCAGCCCAGCACCCTCATCTGACAGAGGAGAGAAGACGAGAAAGAGCAGAAGTGATCTGTGCAAGGCCAAATAAGCAAGTCATGACAAGAGTCAGGGCACTACTCATCCCTACCGCAGTGCTTTTTCTACTATCCCACTGTAACTGTTAACAGGAAAAAATGGAAATTTTAAATATACACAGATAACTTTTCTAGCCACTTTAAAGGGGACAAAAGTAATTCACACAACTGCATGGATAAAACCTCTCACTGGATGTTGCAGGGCATACATACCTGGGGCTTCATCCGGGGGTTCCACCTTACGTAATATCCCACCCAGAGCTCTAGGTGGCGCATGCTGGCCACTGGGTAAAGGACATGATTGGAATAGCTCCCATAGAGGGGATTAGTGAAGTCCTCCAGCTGGCTATTTATGTAAGACCACAGCGACACAGTCCTCCTGGGAAGATTCTATAAGAAGGAAAAATAGGTTCAGGTTCTCCACTACACAAGCTGATCGTACATTAGATGAAATTTGTAAAAAGGCATTTGTGATCATTTGAACAGTTTTAGAGGGAGAGAACTCAGACACTTTGGCAACAGCACCACTTTGATTAAAATCAGAGAGCAGTGGAAAACAGTGCAGCTCTCCAAAAAGGTAAACAGAGTTACCATCCCAGCAATTCCACTCTTAGATGTACATCCAAGACAAGTGAAAACACAGGCACAGACAACCTCGTGCACAATGCTGAAAGTAGCCATCAGTCCCAATGACCAAAAAGTAGGAACAACGCAAGTCCATCACCCGATAGATGGATGAAATGTAACGATACAACGGAATATCACTAATAAAAAGGAACTGAAATAATGATACATGCTACAAACTGAACCTTGAAAACATTATGGTAATTGAAAGAAGCCAGACACAAAGGCCACACCCGGAGTGATTCCATTTATATGAAATGTCCGGAAGAGGCAAACCAACAGAGATTACAGTGTCTGCTAGGGTCTGAGAGGAGAGGGGAATAGGAAGGTAGTAACTACTAACAGGCATGGGGTTTCTTTCCAATGTTCTGAAATTAATGGTGGTGATGACTATATAATTCTAAATATGCTGAAAATCACTAAATTATACACTTTAAAAGTGAATATTATGGAATGCAAATTATAGTTCAGTTTTAAAAACCTTTTTTTTTTTTTTTTTAAGATATAGTAAATCCTACTTGAGGCTCCCAAAAACTGAAAGTCTCTTTGGAAGTTATCCACTGATTATCTAACATTCAATAAATTCTTGATTGGCTTGTGTGCATAGAAATATTTACTGCATGCTAGATACTGAAGATGTAAGGGTGATTTTAAAAATTTTAACATCTATCTTCAAGGAACTTCTAGTCTAGGAAGCACTTACTATATAACCATTATCACAGTGGTTTTGTATGGTTTATTTTATTTAATCCTTACAATAGTAAGCACTATTAAGTATGTAAGTTAAGTACTATTATCCCTACTTTTACAGAAGCTGAAATTAACTTGCTCAACTTCACACAGTAAGTGAAAGGTCCAAGATTTGAACCCAGGCAGCCTAGCTCCAGAGCAAGCATTCTTTGCCACTAGGCTTTACAGAAAAGCATGAAGAAACTATTTGAGAGTCACATTTTTTAGAATGAAAACTGAAGCAGAGTGAGACACTAATCAAGATAATTTAGAACTTCATACATAAGGCAGATGTGTTCTGAGGAACACAGAAGTAAAACTTGAAATGTAATCATTATACATTTCTTATAAATAATACCAACCATTGAACAGTGATATCTCTGGGCATGTGGGGTAACAAATTTTAACTTTCTACTTAATATGTTCTCAGTGTTTGAATGTTTTATGCTATTATTTTACAATTAAAAAAAAACTAAAATGGTTCATATGTATGAGAATGTATTTGGGAATTGAGCTGTGCATTCATTCAAATGTTTATTTTTTGCTTATTCTATCTTGCTGCACCTGCTTCTGATGCACTTCCATCCTGCAGGAAGTGTGGTAACAGGTACATGAGTGCTCCTAAGACACCACATACTTCAGTTCCCTTCAGCAGACGCTGCCTCCTACCCATCCTCATGACAGAGGTACTTTAAGACAGATGAAGCTCAGACGTGTGGAAAGAAGTGAGCATATTACAGCATAAAAAAGAACACATGGCCAAAGGCATCATCCGAAAGAACAACTGTTGAGCTGAAAGCCATCCCAGGCTGCACGCAGCAGAGAAAGCGTGTATATATAGACAGAGGCAGGACAGGCAGGGATCACGTGTTACCTCTTTGCCTCTCTGCTGTTCACTGTTACAGAGGAATGTTCCGAATAAACAGCTATATAGGTGGTCCAAAATGGTAATGAGAAAATATTCGTTGAATTCAAAAGCTGTAGGAAACTGCAAATCAAACATCAAAACACACGAAATAATTAGGGCAGCTTCCCAAGCATGTTCATCCCTGTACATTGGTGGATGCTTTGTAAAACTTCTTAAAATTAGGCTAAACAGCATTCAAAGACTATATATTTCTAAGCTATTATGGTATTATTAATATTTGCTTGGTTTTCTGTTCAAAAACACCACTTTGCTGAGATACTTTCTCCTAACACCTCCTTTTCTTGTGCAGGAAGAACCTGAGTACTCTCATCCTGCTGTCCTGTCCATTTATATCAGTTCACCCTCAACGTGAGGCTGACCTGACTTGTCTCTCTCTGCCAAGAATGACCATAAGAAACATAGTAAGATTTTTCTTTAAATTTTCAACAACATGGTTTTTAGGAATTACACAAAAAATATCAATGTCTCGAGAAAAGGAGATGTGCAGCTCATTTACAAGCCAACCTTACTCATCTTTTCAAGGAACATGCACTCAAACCATGATATCTTATAATCCAGTATTTTGGCAGCCTTTCTTAAAAGAGAAAATTCACTCTTTAACTAGGACAGGTGTTTGACTGGATGTCTTACACAAACAACACAATTTAGGGGTAATTTATCAAGGACCAATTACAGGTCCCAGGAAGGTAAGGGATTTAGTATAATCCATCCTAACCATTTACTGTTTCAAGAATTATTTGAAAGCTTCTATGTAAGACTGTACCATTTATAGGACTGTGAAAAAGAATTTCATGAATGTTTGGATTGTGGCCTTAGTAAATAAATACTGGTGCCAAGTTTTTCTTAGAATGATCCCTACCCAACAGTGGATGAAAACAGCATAAACTGCACACAAAAAGGACAAGAGTGAAAACAAGTCTGCCTTCAAATTTCCTAAATTTATAAGCAGGATAACAGGGCAAATTTAGCTCCTTAAACAATTTACTCTTGAATAATAATTTTTGTGGTTCTGAAGCAAATAAAGCAGGTGATAAAGCACATGCCAACATAAAGCCAATTAATCACAAAAAACTTTGTCAAATTCCATCCATTCACTTACAGAATAAATCCCATGTCCTGTACTGTCACTCTTAAACAGCTTATTTATTAGCCAACCGTGAATGCACCCTACCTTACTACACAGCAATTCGAAGGAGTTAAGCCTATGATTAGCCTTTCATCTTCTTGGCAAAACTATTAGCTCAGTTATGAGAAAATAGCTTAATTAGTGGGATTTCCTCACTAACACAACTAAAATAGCATTATTTAAATAGAACATTAATCGCTGCTATTGTTTTTAAAATCCTGAGCAGAGAAGGAATATTTTGTTCTCCTTATATGTTTAAAATCTGAAGAGCCCTTCATCCTGCTTCCTGATCCCAGCAGTGAGAGATGATGATGAGAGCAGGAGGAGTTAGCAGTTAGAATCTGGCTAACTGCAACATATCTGGTCCTTTTGATAAATTTGCTATTTAAGTCTCTGCACAAACATTCAATTATTTATAAAGCTGATGACTGCCAACAAACATTATTACTATCTCACATGGTCAGGAGGAAAATACCTAAGAAAAATATAAGCAGACATGTATAATAAAGTGTATTTATTATACACACTTATATAACAAAATATATGTATTTTTTATTTATACATATATAATGTATTTTAAGTTCTATCAGTGAAACAAGATTTAACATTACTTAGCAACTTAAGTGAAAAATCAAGATTTAAACTGCTTTTAGATGTATGGCATATAAAAAGTTAACACAATTACTAAGAAAGAAGCCTATTTGTCATGTATTCTCCTATGCAATCGGTAAATGTGATCTATTTTGTTTTTCTAATAAATATACCAGAACCAAGAGTTGCTCCTTTCAAGATATTCTCCCTGGAAAGCAGTACACTTAACCATCAGCGATGCCTTTTGTCGTCCCCTGATAAGGCATATTTGATTTTTCCCAACACTGTCAAATACTATCTTAAAATAGAATATGGTAATAGTTAAAAGTGGGTCCAGACTTCCCTGGCAGTCCAGTGGGTAAGACTCCACCCTGCCAATATAGAGGTACAGCCAAAAGATTTTTTAAAAAAAGTCTAATTTCATTTTTCTCTTAATGAAGTAAAGAATATTTTGTTGAAGCTGAAATATAATGCGAATACCAAGCAGAGCCAGCAAGTGCCCTGCTGCACATTCCCATGGCAGTCCAAGGAAGAACCAGCCAGGCTCCTGGTGGTTGGAGGTCTAGTAAAACTCCAGGATAAATAACTGATATACCACTGAGCAGTACCTGACATTTGGGTTCTCAGATTATTTATCATGAGTTAAACATTTTTAAGACATGAACTCTTTACCTCATTAGTAAAGTTATCCCATAATAAATCAGGTGTTTTTCAGTCTCCTCTTGTATCTTTCCAAAACACTAAACCTATTCACGGTAATATTTCAAATCATTTTCTAGAATGTTGATAGCTCTAAAGCACACAATCTCTTGCTCCATACCTAAAAACAAAACTGAATCTATTTCATATATATGTTGCCATGATTTCCATCTAAACACATTTTTCATCAAAATTGCCTAAAATAGGATTTCATTTTGAGTCACCTTGCCTATTTCATTTTCTTTACCTCCTTTAGCAATGTATAAATGAATTTTTGAGTGAATATATTGCCATTATTTAACATAAATTAAAAATAATAAAATAATTTAATGTGATAATAATACTTCTAGTACCTAGGAAACTTAAAAGAACTTCCACTTTACATGAAACATGAGATAGTCAGTGACCAAACCCAACTCTGACTGGGTAGCTTAAAAGAGAGACGTAAGAATGGATATCCCAGATAAATTACCTGTCTTGTCATCTGCCAGACACAGTCAATAAACTGAAGAAAAACAGGTGATCTGTCTGCATCTGCATGGTTCTTATCTCCATGGCCAACTCTCTGAATCAAAGAGTGAAATATTATATGAGCTTCGTAGGATTTTTCAGCTTTTGATGAAAGTAGTTTTATTTTTCAAGAAAAGTAACATTTGCTCAATATTTTAAAAATTCAGAAAATCTTTTTGAAAGAGCACTGCAAGGAAAACAGAAATCACCAAATTCCACCAAGGAGAAATGTCTATTATCTATTAGCATTTCAATCTGCAACCTGTCCAATTATTTCCTGGCAGGAGACACTTGTAACAGGAATTACAAGTCTGTTTAACAAATGAAACTTAGATCCTAAAAAGCTGACAATGGGAGATAGGAGCAGACAGACCTCAGAGCCCAGATTTTTGTCCTGGAGATTTACTATGACCTGAATATTAACAGTTCCTTGTACACTAGCCCCAGGAAGCACAGGTCTCCTTTAACACCTTGGCCAGGGCATGAAGGGGACCTACGGCACTGGAGCTCCAGGTGGTCTTTCAAAAAGAATCACATTAGCACAAACCTCTGAAAACTTTTGAAAAACCCTTGACATCTCCCCTCAAGCATGCACTCACCTACTTTCTGAATCTTTTTTCTCCTCTGAGGACCTCTGCTCCAGATGACTGAGATAAACACCGACCCTATACCCCAAGGCAGTGATTCTAAAAGAGTGATCCAGACTTCCAGCAGTGGGAGAGGTCTGTGAGTTCACAACTATTTTCATAATATTACTAAGACATGCTTTGCCTTTTTCAGTGGGTTGACATTTGCACTGTGCCGTGCTTAGGTGCTCAGCTGTGTCCAACTCTTTGCAACCCATGGACTGCAGCCCGCTGGGCTCCTATATCTATGGGGATTCTCCAGGCAAGAATACTGGAGTGGGTTACCATGCCCTCCTCCAGAATGGTGTAAAGGTGATGAAGGAAGAAAACTTCTGGTACCTTAGGAGGAAATCAGCAAACAAGGCATTGGAATCGAGCTATACTATAGTTATTATGTTTGCCCTGTCAAACACCTGCACTTAAATGAAAGAAAAAAAGTCAATCTCTCTTAAGCCAATGTCCCTGATGAAGCAGTAAAAATTAATAAATCTCCACCTTGGAGTATAATTTTTTAAGTATCCTATGTAACAAAATGGGAAATACACATAACGTGCTTCTGTTGCAGACTTAAGTAGAATGTAGGAAACACAGCTTTTTCATGGAACATCATTTTGACTTGAAAGAACAATTGATATATGAATTATAGTTATTAAGACCTGAATATCTTGCAGACATCTTTTTTGAAAATGTACAAAAGTGAGTCTGTCACTTCAAGGAAAACAATGGCCAGTATTTGTCACCAATGATGAAATTCAAGCTGTTGAGTGAAAGTTAAATTTGAGGGAAAATTTTACCTGCCACAATGAGTTTGATAATACTTAAAAGACTTTTCTGATAAAATTAGTAGTAATATTAATACCTGTGATTTTATGATATATATTGAAATGCATTAAGACTGGAAGGGCTGTGTAAATTAGTAAGCCAGTATTTTCCCAATTACCAACACATGATATTACAAAATCATGCACAGGTAAAAGATCTATTTATTCAAAGTGCAAGACATACCAACGGAATTTAATAGAACACACCAAAAAACTCATCAAGCAAGTTTTAGATTCCACATTACAAATAACCACTAAGAAACTACCACTTGTCAAGTTTTGGCACAGTAGCAAAGAAAACTATCCACAATTTTCTGGAAAAAATTAAAATACCCTTTTTTTCAACCTATATATCTGCATGTGGTCAAATTTTCCTCATATCTTCAATCAACAGGACATATTGTAACAAACTGAATGCAGAAGTAGATATGAAATTTATCTTCTATTAAGCCAGATATTAAAGAAACTTGTAAAAAATGTAGAATAATGCCACTCTTCTCATAAAACTCCATGCTTCCTCACATATTATGCTAGTTACTTTTCTTTAAAATGTTATTTATGCTAATATATAACAGGACTTTGAGTAGATATTAAAGAAACTTATAAAAAAATGTAGAATAATGCCACTCTTCTCATAAAACTCCATGATTCCTAACATATTATGTTAGTTACTTTTCTTTAAAATGTTATTTATGCTAATATATAACAGGACTTTGGGTTGAATGTGTCCCCCAAAATTCACATGTTGAAAATCAAATGCCCAATTTGATAGTTTTAGGAGCTACCCAGGTCATGAGGGTGGAAACCTCATGAATGAGATTAGTGCTCTTATCAAAATGACAGGCCCCAAAGAGCTCCCCAACCCTCTTCCACCATTAAAGATAACAGTGAAAGGTTGGCAGTCTGCAATCTGGAAGAGGGCCTTCACCAGAATCCTACCATGCTGGCACTCTGAACTTGGACTTCCAGCTGTCACAACTGAGAAATACAGCAGTCCAAATGGACTAAGAAAATAGATTATTTCCTTAAATAATACATACATTTAAAAAATTTAATTTCTAATATGGAAAATACTGATATAAACAAAGTTCTTTTGGGTCATCAACAACTGGTAAAAATGGAAAGAGGTCCAGAAATCAGAAAGTTTGAGAATCATTACCCTATATTAAACATGTGCACATACCCACTTAATCAGATGTGCTTTGTTAAATCCTGCTTTCAGATAACAATCAAGAGGGGGAAAACAGAGTAGGTAGTCAGAGTCAGCAATTTAGGAATCCACTGCAGCTTCAAACAGTCTGAAGTGTTTATGATTTTGGTTACCCTTATATGAACATGTGCAGCACTGGATGACCGAAACGTCACTCTTTTAACGGTCTTATCATGGTAAGTACATTTTATAGAGAGCTGAAAAATATAAGCCATCTGAATGGATACTCCAGATGACCAATTTTATTTAACAGTTCAAGTTTAAAACAGCAGACTACCTTTACATGTCCATTTCTTGCAAGCTTTTTTTTAAAATAAACACTGCTAGTGGATACTAACAGCTAACATTAGAAACAGCATCTGGGCACATATTTCAGGAAAGTCTTTCAGCTAACCTAGGAAAACGCTGCCAAAAATCACACTCTCGGGGGCTTCAACGCCTCTGAGAATCTTACCTCTCGTCTCCAGGATCCTCTAAATAATGTGACAAGTTTCTCTTGAGCAGTTTACCATTAGAACAAAAGGTCAGTCATACGTGAATATCAAGTGAATAAAAGACATGATCTTCACACGCCTTGTGTGAGATGCACATGTGATACCCTGAGTCAAGGTTCTTCACTCACAAGCTGAAATCGATGTCCGAAGCTCAGCCACTCTTTCTCCACAAGGACCTCAAAGCCTCGGATGGTGCGGTAGTATCCATCCAGCATAAGCATGGCCAGGGAGGTCAGCTGGGCCGTGCGGTCCCAGCCGTCACTGCAGTGCACCACCACAGACGTCTTTCCTGACTCCACCCTGTCAGCAATCCTGAGAGCCCCTGCAAGAATAAGCTGAAAAAAGGAGTTTTTCAATGAATTTAAAAAAAAAAAATAAATGCTTTCTTCCTCAAAATTTGTAATAGTTTTTTTCAGAGATGACTATCTCAAAAAACAGGTGGAGAAAAGAATATCAGTCCTTTCCTAAAAGGAATTTTTGTGTATGGTGGAAAATACTGACACTTTGCTTTTAAAACTGAAAAATCTCAAAAATGCAGACTCCTATTAATCTACACAATGACCTATCCAAACAAAAGGTAACTTTGGGTTCTGAACAAATCAAGAGTATGAGTAATAAGAAAGAAGGATTAAGTTCCAAAGAGATCTACTTCTAAGAATCTTCAAATATTCCAACATCATCCATTTAAGTAAAAATAATACACCAATTGAATTCTTATCTGTTACTTAAAACAGTGATACTTAACCAAAGCAGAATAAATATGAAAGCAGTAAAGTTGGATATTATAAAATAGTCTACAGTTTCTATAGCATTTACTCTACTGTTTTTATACCACACAGCAAGCAAAGCATGAAATTTTAGAGAAAGCTGACTTTTACATATTGGTATGAGTGAAAAATTCTCATCAGACCAATATATTTTCACGTTAATTGAACTGGTATCTAAAATAACTTCAGGTATTTTTTTTAAATACACAGGCTCTCTCTGCAAAATAATTTACCTTCTCTGAAGTTGATCTTGAGTTAGAACTAGACAGAATTAGATGTAACCTAAAGAGAAACACACAGTGTAATAGCCTTTAAACTGAACAATAGAGCCCCCCTCTTCTCTGCAATGGCCCAATCATACTTTAAGAACAGCATGATTACACAAACATAGATAAGAGTGAAAGAAAAGATATGCTATACGAAGGCTTGGAGAACCTCATGATGACCTCCTTTTAATCATAATCGTAGGCATATTTTGGAAGTGGGGTACTCCGAAGCAATCTCAATCTTGTCTATGCATCAGAGTTATCTGTGAGCATTTAAAAAAGGAAAAAAAAAGCCTTGTCTCCATTAATCCTAACTCACTCTTTTAAATAACTTCCACCTATAATTCAAATATGAGGCTTCCCAGGTGGCGCAGTGGTAAAGAATCCACCTGCCAATGCAGGAGACACCAGAGACGCGGGTCTGATCTCTGGGTCGGGAAGATCCCCTGGAGAAGGAAATGGTAACCCACTCCAGTATCCTTGTCTGGGAAATCCCGTGGACAGAGGAGCCTGGTCGGCTGCAGTCCATGGGATGAGAGTCAGACATGATTGAGCGAATGAGCACACACAGAGCACATAAGTCAAATATATACGCAAAATTACACACCATTGACCTAAAGGGTTAGAACAGGTGAAAAGCTAAGGCAACGAGGAAGAGTTCTCCGTTCGGTCATCTTCATCCGTTCATTCACTTAAAAGAAACATTTATGGAGTCCCCTACCACACGGTAGGCACTGCTCACGGTGCTGGAACTACAGAGCAGCAAACGGAACAAGTGCTGGCGTAATGAAGTTTATACTGTATTGAGGCGAGGCCGGCCAGATGCAAAGAAAGAAAGAAACAGTGTGTCAGAGGGCAACAGTGAAAAAGTGCCATCCAGAGCAGCGAGTGCAGGCAGAACTGTCACTGCGTATGGAGTGGTTAGGAAACGCAGCTTTGAGAAGCTGAAGTTTGAGCAGAGATCTAAAGAAAGTGAGTGGGGAAGCCTTACAGGTGTGAAGACTGAAGGAGAAGGTGGTCCAGGCACAACTGTACCTCTTTGAAGGAAATGTGTTTCTGTTATAGCCAGTTTTTTGGAAAGAATATTGTACCTGCTAAACAATGAGCTGTAATTTACAAAACGCTTCAGTGAATGTCAGTTCCGAATCAAGTCTTACGGTTTTCTATTTACACATCATACAATGTAATAGATGGTCCCCATGACCATGCTCTCTAACAGAAGAACGTTCATGTACTTTGCTACATTCAAGCTTCTGTTTCTAGAAGAGAAACAATAATCAAAATAGTTTATAATTCTCAAGAGGTCAATTTAGCCTTCAATTTTTCTTAATTTTAGAGCTTTTAATGTAAGTATAAGCTACTCTTTCTTAACATGAAAAATCCTATTTCCATTTATTTCCTAGTATTAATATATGTGCTCATATATTATATAGAGATCTATATATAATATAGAGAGATCTATATTTTGGTAAGCTATGTTATTGAAATTCAGACCTATCTGAAAATATTTATAACTATATTAACTGAAGGTTCATATAGTGAGGTTCATACAGTCTCCTTCATTTAACTACTTCACCTCATGTGCCTGACCAGAATGGTTTTCAAAAGCTATGTAACAATTATTTATTGGGTGATTTATTTACATCATATAGTGCTACCCTGGCTCCTACGGGGACAAAGAAGAAATATGATTTATCCTGTCCGACTCTCCATGAATTAGCAATCTATGTTAATTGACACATAAAAGTAATTAAATCAAGTACTTGGGAGCATCTGATTAGCCAGAAAGAAAAGCAAAATGAAAAGCTCAGAGAAAATGGAAATGAATTCCATCTGGGAAGACTTTATCAAAGAAGTAAACCGGGAACTGAAGAATGGGCAGATTCAGACAGGATGGAAAGAGGGGAAAAAAGTACACCAGAACCAAATGTATGACACAGAAACCTAATTCATTCAAGGACCAAAACTTAAAAGTAGTTCTCATTATCAGAGTAGTCATCAGTTTTTCACTGTTTAAAAAGATACTTCTATCTTGATTTCAATTGTAAGAGGCAAAGTTTGATAGTCTCTAACAGTTTAAAGAAATAGTAACATATCCCTACCTTAATATGCTCCAGCCAGTGAGTAGATTCCAAGTTAGACAACCAGTGGGTCTCCTCAATGTTGGGATACACAATCTCCTTAAGTTTTCGTAAAGATTCTCTCATAACGTGGATATTGTGGATATCTAGGAAAACTAGTTCTGCATTTTGATAGGCATCTTCACTTTCATAACCTCCACCTTTTGCCTAGAAAAATAACATCACAGGAAATAAAAAATGAATGCATATCCATTGTATGATGACATCCTTGAAAGAGTGCCATAAAATACCCAAAAACATCAAAGCTGATACACGTCGCTGATGGACAGGAAAACTCCATGGGAAAATGTGGCTGGCTCAGGGCAACCTAACACAACCACACTGTCCCACAAGTTCTTCATAAAACAAGAATATACACGCTCACCCTGACTTCCTCTTGTTGCTGTTATTAAAATTATATATGATAACATATAGGAAGGTACTTAGAGCACTATAATTTCACTATCCATATCTCAAGTCCTACCCAAACATAATTTCATACAGAAGACTAAAGCTCCATGTACAGGGACATCTGTCTAATTTACACCTGACCCACACTTTTCTTCACTTCACCTTAATATTTGCAAAGTGCTTTGCAATCGTGGTGACTGACTTCTAGGGTAACTGCACAATTATTATTAAATAAAAACACAGAACAAATATAAAATCACAGAGTACTATAGTATAATACTATCACTATTTTCAAAGAGGTAAATCTATATCTACAGAATAGAATGAAAAATATTTGGTTTCACAGTAAGCTACAGCTGGAAAGAAGAAACAAATTTTTCTGAGTTGAATCTTTCCCTGTTTTTTCAATAAAATATTCTTTTGCCTTTTGGATAAAATATGCCTCTTAGGTATAAAATCACACCTCTTTGAGTACTAATGGAAAAATATTAGGATGATACTGGAACAGTCACTGTAGTTATATAAAATTAAGAGATCACGTTTTTGAAAACAATAAAGCTTACCTTTTAACCAACAACAAATTAGTGAAGAACAGACGTTCAAGTTTCCTTTCTGACACTGACAGTGTGGCAAATGGTTTAGAGTCAAGACGGGCACAAGTACAAAATTAACAGCGTTTTATTAGGTCCCTGTTAACAAGGATTATTCTAGAGAGTGGGGACAGCTCACATCAGGGACAGAGGGACATGCAAATGTGTTGCAATAAATCCCAAAAACACGGCGGTTCTGCAGCTGCAGGGAGCCTGTCACAAACACACAGGGTCAAACGCTCTGGGACCAAGACTCGCACAAGTTCATGAGTACATTCAATGCTGTCAGATAACTGAAAATATACTAAAAACAAGGAAATACATACTGTAAGAATGCATTTCATGTGAATTATATTTCAATACAACTGGTATTATTTAAAAACAGAGCAACTAGACAGTAAAACTGAAGACACACACAAAAAAATCACTGAAGACAGAACTAGAGGACAGAGCACTCCATCAAACCCCAGAACCACCCGCAGTCACAAGATAGAGGTGCCATCAGTGAATGTGTGAGGAAGTGCAGAAGGGAGCAATGCATATAAGATGGACTAGAAAACAAGGGACTCACAAGAGAGTCTTACAAGTGTTTATTATTCTGCTTCCTGGTTTTAGCTCTCTTCTTCCAGAACAACAGGAAAGAACAACAGGTCAATTTAAGAAGCGCAGCTGAACCCGAGAAGGGTTCTGTCCATTCTAACAGATGAGTTATTGGAGAAACTCATAGATTAAGTAAAAGAACTTGGAAACAAATAGAAATAAAAGGGAAAAAATTAGAAATAAAGACCAAATTAGAAGAAACTCAAGAGCAAATGAATACAGTGGATATTAAATTAAAAGAAACAGACAGTGAAAAGTAAAATATAAAACCAAAATGGAATTAGAAAGACATAAAAAAGAGTCAAGAGAAAGCGACAAATGATGAAGAGAGGAGAAGAAGAGACAACCAAGGAGTAATAGCAGTCCTGAAGAAGAAAGCCAAAACAAAGAAATGAAATAAATACTAAGAACTATGATTAAAGAAAACAGTCATGATGCTTTTAAATTGAAATTCCCAATGAAAACAGCACACATGCATACCTGATAATATAAACCCAAAATACACAGCATGAAGACATATTCTGGCAAAATAACTGGACTTAAAAGAAAAACAAAAGACAAAATTCTTTGCACATTGAAGTAAAAACAGTGACTCAGAAAGAAATTTATCATCAGACTTTGAAACTTTATGACAAAAAAAAAGGCAATATATTTAAGACATTCAAGAAAATTAAATGCAAACCAAGAATTTTATGCCCAGGAAAATCAATATAAATATAAGGAACATAAGCTGCTCCCCTCAACCCATGTCCATGCTCAGTCATGTCCAGCTCTTTGGGACCCCATGGGCTGTAGCCCACCAGACTTCTCTGTCCACGGAATCTCCAGGCAAGAACACTGGAGTGGGTTGCCATTTCCTACTCCAGGGGGTCTTCCTGACCCAGGCATCAAACCCATGTCTCTTGTGCCTCCTGTACTGACAGGCAGATTTTTTACTTTTGCACCACTTGGGAAGTCCCTCACAAGCTGCTATCAGCAGGTGAATACTCAGAATATTGTTTCTATCAGCTCTGATGAAATATTTACAAGAGAAGAACTTCAGACAAAAGAAAACGACAAGAAAGATTTCCACATAAGAACTGGTTGTGTGCACAAAATACAGTTACTTGTAGAAGTCAGAGGTAAAAGGGAGAGTAAGTGTACAGAAGGGAGTGTACAGACTACCTACTCTGACAATGTAAATACAACACATGTATTTTACAATGGGAGCAAGTCCAAAAAGTTTTTTCCGTAAGTGTACTGGGGACACTAGTAACACTGTTATTCTAGCACCATGGTAGGATAAAGCAAGTGAGTAATTATGTAACAGACAAATCTTATCATTCCCTCTGACTCTGAGAATCAGCATTCCCGGTGGGGAAGGAAGGAGTTACACATGCAATTTTGAAGAAGTTATGTAAGACCCTGCCTGCCAGTATAGGTGACACAAAGAGACGGGGTGTAGGGAAGACCCCCCGGAGGAGGGCCTGGCAATCCACTCCAGAATTCTTGCCTGGAGACTTCCAAGGACAGAGCCACCCAGCAGGCCACAGTCCATAGGGCCATAAAGAGCCAGACAGACTTAACACACATGCATGCACACATGTAAAAACTCTAACACTGAGTTTAAACTGAAAGCACCAGTATGAACTCATGAAGTACTGTATCTTTAAAAATATATTAACACTTCCTGGCTCTATCCATTTCCTAGTCTATTCAGAAAAGACTCGGAAATTGGACCAGTCCAGTAGCAAATAAGTATCCTTAGCACCAAATTATGGTTTCAAATACCATCTCCAACAAACAGAAACCAGAACTTCTTAAGGAAATGGCTATTCCAAGTCTGGGGCAGGATATGTACAAGATTTCCTAATGACTCTGGTGTATTTTATCATACTGGATAGCAAAGATTACTATGTGTGTGGGCTCAGTCACTTGAGTATTGTCCAACTCTTTGTGAACCCATGCACTGCAGTCCATTAGGCTCCTCTGTCCACGGGATTCTCCAGGCAAGAATACCGGAGTGGGCTGCCATGCCCTCCTCCAGGGCATCTTCCAGACCTGGGGATCAAATCGACGTCTCCTGCATTGCAGGCGGATTCTTTATCGATGACCCACCGAGGAAGCCTAAAGATTACCGTCCTGCCAAACACACTCGGGAGGTAACTTGCAAAGTCTCCTTTTGATCAAAGGTGGAAAAAAAACTTTAATACTATTTGCAATGAATTAGAAATTGCCAACTACATACAAATACAATACGTGCTTAGTTGTGTCCAATTCTTTGCAACCCCATGGACTATAGCCCACCAGACTACTCTGTCCATGGAATTTTCCAGGCAAGAATACTGGGATGGGTTGCCATTTCTGACTCTAGGAGATCTTGCTGACCCAGAGATTGAATCTGTGTCTCTTGTGTCTACTGCACTAGCAGGCAAATTCTTTACCACTGTACCACCGGGGAAGCCCCAATGCATTCATAATAACACTTAAAAAAATTAGTCATTCTCATGGGATGGCAGGGAGCAAATTTATTATTGGGAAAACTGATAAATAAGGAAAAAGAATCAAGTATTTACCCTGGCTTTCTTATATGAACTGAACTGCTGACTAACCATAATTTAGATAAGAGAAAGTACTTTTTTTAAGAAAGAGTTCAACTAATAGCTGAAAAGAAAATTATGAACTTAAGCGTATCACCATTTTACAACCCCACTGAAGGAACAGATCTTGGCACTGAGCTTGATCAGTTACTAATATCCAAAAAGAAGAATCAGCCTCAAATTATGTGCCTCCTGATGTATCCCCTACAGCTGTGCCAAAGAAATTGAACCTCAATCTGAATAAACCTCTGAATTCATGTGAAGGAAATTCAGAGGACAGAAGAACTATACCATAACACAATCGGCGAAGTCTGGACTGTGGGAAACTCCACAGTAAAATATACGGGAGAGAAGGAGGGGGTCAGGGAGGGAAGTGCAAGGGGCAGACCGCAGACAAAGAGAGACTTAAAAGGCATACAAATACAATCTTAACAAGGCGAGGCTAAACTGCAGAGACTAGGGATGTGTACACTTCAGTAACAACAGATTAAGTAATGTGAGAAGATGACTACTATAGAAGTTAGGGCAGTGGCTACCTTTAGCAGGGGCAGAAGGCAAATCTGACTGGGGCTGGGTGCACATGGGAGGCTTAGTGGCTGGTAAAGCTTTGACTCTTGATATGGCTCATGACTGCAAAAGAAGTCACAGTCACACTGCTTCATACATGTTCACTGCTGTTTCACACACTGCTATATCACACACAGTCACACTGCTCACACATATTCACACTGCTATAAAAAATATTCTTACCATGAAGATAAAAAATATTTGTTGCAACAAATATGTATGCTTTTGCAAATTTTAAAAGGGAGATGGGGCAGGTGGGTATTGGGTGAAGGTGGTCAAAAGGTACAAACTTCCAGTTAAAAGATAAATAAGTCATGGGGATATAATGTACAACGTGATGACTACAGTCAACAACACTATACCATATATACTTATATACTTTACTATGTCAATTATATCTCAATAAAACAGCAGGAAAAAACATATCTATCTAGCTGGTAAATTAACTTTCCTGAAGAATAATGGCAATATGTGCAAAACTTTTAAAAATATGAATATTTTAAATCAGGATATAGTAATGGTATAGCTAGGTAACAAAAATGTCAACAAAAAGTACTTATTTTAGCTATATTTAAAATACTAAGTATCTAGTATTAGAAGAATGATTAAGTAAACAATGACATAGCTGTATGATGAGTACTTATTAAAGTATTTCTCAAGAACAATTATTGGAAAGAAATATTTTTTATAAAAAGGCAAAACAATTGAAACAATCAATATATAAATGCATAGAAAAAACAGTGGGAGAAAATATATCAAAGATCAGTAATTACAGGTGCTTTTTATTCCTTTACTTTGCCCATCCCTTCCTAGATTTTTGTTGTCAATTACATATTTTATGATCAGAAAAATGCCCCAATACATAAAATATACTAGTCTTTATTAAGAAAAGAGATTTCCATAGTGAAATACATGTGGGAATCATTTTACAAGGAATATAACATTTTGCCTACCCCCTTTTCTGCCTTATATGCCTCTCATCCTAGACAACATCTTTTTTTTAATCTATTTTATTTATTTATTTGGCTGTACCAGGTCTTAGTTGCAGCATGTGGGATCTTGTTCCCTGACTGCAAACAGGATAGTATTCCCTGCATTAAAAGCATGGAATCTTACCCACTGGGCCACCAGGGAAGTCTCTCATCCTAGATAATAAGTCTCATTCCTGCTAACTCATGGTATAAAGTAATTACTGGAAAAATATGCACCAGTCCCTGGGGAACCAGTTTCATATGTACACTGTCCTGTTTTGCCTTTAAGGGGAAATATTTACAGCTTAACAGAGAATGCCTGAATTTCAAACTGTCCTCAAAACACTAAACAGGATAGAAATAATTAAGTACATGCTCCATAATTTAATTAAAGGATGATCACCCCAGCATTGTTTATAATAGCAAAAAAGATCAAAAAAAGAAAAAGAAATAACCTAAATATCCAAGAACAACTGGTGTTACCAGTTATCATACAATTAAAATAATGTTACAGATGTATATTTATTGGTATAGAAAGAAACAGCATCAATTAAAAAAGGAAGTTGAAATTATCTCATTTTGTCTTAAAAATATGAGTACACACATAGGCACATAGGTCTGGAAGTACAGTCAAGGTTTAATGGTGTGTGTCTTTTATTTAGTTATAGAATTTGGGGTGTTTTAGTTTTGGAGGGAGACCGTGTGGGTTTTTTTCTTTGTCTTACCTGTGAGGCAATTTTTTAAAGCTAAACTGTCTTCGCTTTTCTTCTCCAGTAGTAGACTTTGCCAAGTGGACCAGAATTTCTATTTCCACAATGCTAATATTTATTATATAGCAGAAATCAGGACCACTGCTTCAACTAACTGCCCGTCTTCAGTGTGACTAGCTTGTACAGGCAGAGACCTGCCAGAGGAGGGCAGCACTGGTCACTGAGAACTCTGCATGCTTCCTACAAGGGCGCTGTGCAGACCAGTGCCACAAACTCAGTTTGTGGTGCCCAGTTTGGAGAAGGGAGCGTTTTGCTCCTAAAACAACAGTTTATCAGGTGAGTTTTGCCCCTAAAACAACTCTGTTAGTTTTTATGATTCTCATTTTACAAATAAGCCAATTAAAGTTACTAAAGAGATTAAAATTAAATGGGATTGACATGTACATACTGCTATTTTGAAAACAGAAAACCAATAAGGACCAATAAGCACAGGGAATTCTGATCAATATTCTGTAATAACCTACAAAGGAATAAGAACTTGAAGAAGAAAAGATACGTGTATGACTGAGTCACTCTGCGGTAGACCTGAAACACAACACTGTTAGTCAACCATACTCCAATATAGAATTAAAAATAAAATTCTTTAAGTTACACTATCAAGGAGAAGAGCCAGGATTAGAATCTATATCTTTAGCAGATGAAAAGCCTAAACTCATCCTATTGCACTGTGTACGCGTGCGCGTGCTGTCACATCCAACTCCTTGTGACTCCATGGACTGTAACCCCCCAGGCTCCTTTATCCACAGAATTTTCCAGGCAAGAATACTGGAGCAGGTTGCCACTTCCTACTCCAGGGGATATTCCCGACCCAGGGATCAAACCAGGGTCTCTTGCATTGCAAGTGGATTCTTTACCACTGAACTACCTCCTGACAAACTCATGAAACTGTAACTATAATCTTAATTACTGAAAGAGGATCTCACCTTATTGGCAACTGCATTAACACTTGGCCGGGCGTCGAATATAAAGATTTTATGAGATTGGGCATTGGAGTCCATAATGGCTTGAAGGTATTTTTCATCTTCTTTGCTTCGCTTCCCACTCACCCCTACCATGGGCTGGCTACATCGAGTGATTGTGGCTTGACTTTCAGGATGAATCCATGACAAAACCTTAATGGGAGGAAAAATGGCAACACACCCTTTGACATGATTCTCTATTATAGTTCTTCCCCAAAACTTACTCAATAAGACTCTGCTTTCTAACTGGATTCAAAGCTAAGCCATGAAAGGAAATATGAGGCTGCTATAAAAAATCATCATTTTTCTTTCAAGTCAACTCTGGCATGTGGAAAACTTGGTCTTATTAGTTAATCAGATATTGATTTAGAAGAGTCACTAATTAAAAGTATTGTCTCTAGGAAAATATACATTAAAAGGGGGCTATGTAAACTCCACTTTTAAAGTTCAGCATAAATGCCCAACTATAGTGTTCACAGTCTACACATTTTTTACCTAAAATTATTAGAGCTTATCTTTCCAGAATACAGAAATTCATCACAAATTTGTATGGTTTTCTTCATTCCAGGATTTAACAGAAGACAGCACTTATCACTATGACCAACTGTATAAGATAAAGAAATAGTGAATAATACCAGAGCCAACTTTGATTTCAAGTTAAGAGCCATGCAATTCTGAGGCGCTCTTCTTATACCCATTTCAAACTCTCCAGAAAACTCTTTAGTCTAAGTCTTTCCTCTGGTTTTAGTTTTACTCAATAACTCATTCCCTAATAGCCCCACAGAGGACCCACTGCTATAGCTATTTTTATCCTGCATCTACTCCCCCATTCATTCTCCTCTGCATTATGTGGGGCACAAAAGCAATGGGGAAGCTTTAGCACAGCTTCACACTTACTGGGATACGGCCCCGCGATCTGAAGGAAGCCACTCTCTTCAATTCTTCATCAGGGATATTTGCCGGAACAACCAAGAGGGCAGGGTAGGTATCACAGAGCTCGTAGCGTTCATTTATCTTTGTTATTCTCCAGCTTTCATTCGGAATTCCCTACATGTGAAATAAACATAAGACAAATTACTGCCTAAGAGAAATATCTGAAAACATTAGAACAGAAGGCTCCTACTCAACTTCTCTTATACTCCACTATCCATCGCTTAAGTTGTCGGAATAGTTATTGTCTGCCTATGGTGATCAAGCTTTTAGGATGAGACCTTCTAACACAGAAAATCTGTATTCATTTTGGCACTCAGTTTTATGTTAACAGATTTATTATGTCATTAAATACTGACTGAGTGCTGGCTCTGTCCTAAACATATCAAACAAAAACAAAGGAAACAGTAAGACTAAAAATAAAAATGCTCTTGTCTTTAAAAAGAACAGTCTCACATAGTTTGAATGGACAACTGACTTTGCTGCCATTCATCTATACAAAGAAATGTCTGAGGGCAGGCGCTAACCATCCAATAAAAAGCTATGCACATATTTATCACTGAAATAGATAAAGTGAATTTCACAGTATTAATGTCACTAATGTAAAACATATGAGAAAAACAAGAAAGTAACAGAAGGCAAAGCCCCCTCCTCTGCCAAAAAAAGAAGCAAGAGAAACAAAACATGTTTTGTAATACACATCAATTATTAAACCTTTGGTCCTTAAAGGTTTCTTATATTTATAACTAGTATACCACTTCACATATACAATTTCTTCCATTAGTATAGGCAATAAAGCCATTACAGTAAATGGTGAGAATTAAGAAAATATTTATTTTTCATTTTATTACCTATGACAACTTATAATAAACAGAAAAAAAATTGAAAGAAACCAAATTACAGTAAAAAATATATATATATATACACATTTATTGAGCATTTACTATCTGCAGGCGCTATGCCTACACATGCACATATGTGCGTGCACACACACACAATTTACGGTATTCAGGTTTCATTAACATCACTGTAAAGATGAAGAATTTGTGGCACAGCTTATAACTTGACTAAAGGTAGTAAAAAAATTCCATGTAAATTCTAAACCTATCCTTTTTATAATAAAATACATTGTGCCTCAAGAAAACTTTCACTATCCTGATTCACAAAACGGTTATAAAAACCTGAAATCAAAGTGCAGGAGGGACTTCTCCTCCGAAGGCGTATTTCTCAAGCTGTTGCCAAACACCCAAGATATTAAAATTAAGAAAGAAGGGAGGACTTTCCTGATGGCACAGTGGATGGGAATACACCTGCCAATGCAGGAGACAGGAGTTCTATCCCAGGTCCAGGAAGATCACAGATGGCACAGGGCAACTAAGCCACCTGCCACAACCCCTGAGCCTGTGCTGGAGCCTGCGTGGTCCAGGGCCCGTGCCGCAGCCACGAGGCCCGCACCTGAGGCCCTGCTCCGCAGGAAGAGAAGCCGCAGCAACGAGAAGCCTGTGCACTGCAAGCAGAAGTAGCCTGACCCAGTGACAAAGACCCAGCGCAGCCAACAGTAAATTAACCAAATTTCAATCAAAAAGGAGGCAAAATTCCTTCCCAGGAATCATGTGGTAAATATTATCAACAGAGCTTCCATTTACACTAGCCATTTTAACATCAGTGCCTTACATATTATTTACCCCATTTACTTTGGCCCCAACTTACTACCTGTGATCTACATCTCTCCTTCCCTCTTGCCTTCCTCAACTTTATGTTCAGGTAAAATGTGAACTTATTTTCAGAAATAAAAGGCAGGTTTAGTAGAGACGTTTAAAATGTATTTACATGCAATAATTTAAAAAAATGTACAATGAACTGGTGAGTTTATAGATGAACTTCTCAATCAACAAACTTCAGTTCAGGAGCTCAGTCGTGTCCAACTCTTTGTGACCCCATGGACTGCAGCACGCCAAGCCTTCCTGTCCTTCGCCAACTCCTGGAGTTTACTCAAACTTGGTGATGCCATCCAACCATCTCATCCTCTGTCACCCCCTTCTCCTCCTGCCCTCAATCTTTCCCAGCATCAGGGTCTTTTCCAATGAGTCAGCTCTTCACATCAGGTGGCCAAAGTATTGCAGTTTCAGCTTCAATATCAGTCCTTCCAATGAACACCCAGGACTGATCTCCTTTAGGATGGACTGGTTGGATCTCCTTGCAGTCCAAGGGACTCTCAAGAGTCTTCTCCAACACCACAGTTCAAAAAAGCATCAATTCTTCAGTGCTCAGCTTTCTTTATAGTCCAACATCCATACCTGACCACTGGAAAAATTCACTACTAGATAGACCTTTGACTAGATGGACCTGTTGGCAAAGTAATGTCTCTGCTTTTTAATATGCTGTCTCGGTTGGTCATAGCTTTTCTTCCAAGGAGTAAGCGTCTTAATTTTATGGCTGCAGTCACCATCTTCAGTGGGTTTGGAGCCAAAAAAAAATAAAGTCTGTCACTGTTTCCACTGTTTCCTCATCTATTTGCCATGAAGTGACAGGACCGGATGCCATGATCTTCATTTTCTGAATGTTGAGTTTTAAGCCAGCTTTTTCACTCTCCTCTTTCACTTTCATCAAGAGGCTCTTTAATTCTTCTTCACTTTCTGCCATGAGGGTGGGGTCATCTGAGTATCTGAGGTTATTGATATTTCTCCCATCAATCCTGATTCCAGCTTGTGCTTCACACAGCCCAGCTTTTCTCATGATGTACTCTGCATATAAGTTAAATAAGCAGGGTGACAATATACAGCCTTGATGTACTCCTTTTCTTATTTGGAACCAGTCTGTTGTTCCATGTCCAATTCTAACTGTTGCTTCCTGACCTGTATACAGGTATCTCAAGAGGCAGGTCAGGTGGTCTGGTATTCCCATCTCTTTCAGAATTTTCCACAGTTTCTGGTGATCCAGACAGTCAGAGTCTTTGGCACAGTCAATAAGGCAAAAATAGACATTTTTCTGGAACTCTCTTGCTTTTTTGATGATCCAACGGATGTTGGCAATTTGATCTCTGGTTCCTCTGCCTTTTCTAAAACCAGCTTGAACATCTGTAAGTTCACAGTTTGCGTATTGTTGAAGCCTGGTTTGGAGAATTTTGAGCATTACTTTACTAGCGTGTTGAGATGAGTGCAATTGTGTGGTAGTTTGAGCATTCTTTGGGATTGGAATGAAAACGAACCTTTTCCAGTCCTGTGGCCACTGCAGAGTTTTCCAAATTTGCTGGCATATTGAGTGCAGCACTTTCACAGCATCATCTTTCTGGATTTGAAATAACTCAACTGGAATTCTATTATTTCCACTAGCTTTGTTCATAGTGACGCTTTCTAAGGCCCACTTGACTTCACATTCCAGGTTGTCTGGCTCTAGGTGAGTGACACACCATCGTGATTATCTGGGTCGTCAAGATCTTCTTTGTACAGTTCTTCTGTGTATTCTTGCCACCTCTTCTTAATATCTTCTGGTTCTGTTAGGTCCATACCATTTCTGTCCTTTATTGAACCCATCTTTGCTTGAAATGGTCCCTTGGTATCTCTAATTTTCTTGAAAAGATCTCTAGTCTTTCCCATTCTATTGCTTTCCTCTATTTCTTTGTACTGATCGCTGAGGAAGGCTTTCTTATCTCTCCTCGCTATTCTTTGGAACTCTGCATTCAAATGGGAATATCTTTCCTTTTCTCCTTTGCTTCTCTTCTTTACTCAGCTATTTGTAAGGCCTCCTCAGACAACCATTTTGCTTTTTTGCATTTCTTTTTCTTGAGGATGGTCTTGATCCCTGCCTCTCCTGTACAATGTCACAAATCTCTGTCCATAGTTCATCAGGCACTCTATCAGATCTAGTCCCTTAAATCTATATATCACTTCCACCATATAATCGTAAGGGATTTGATTTAGGTCATACCTAAATGGTCTAGAACCAAAAAACTTGAGTGCTAGCTTTAACTCATCCAATCAATGACCAATTTTTAGGATTTTTTTTCTTCCAAAAAAGCCAGAAAAGTTTGCTCACTTCTCTCAATCCTCACTTCTCTCCTGTACCTCTGCGACCCATTCTCCACACTGCCTCAAAATTCTTTTAAGATGCAAAAGTTATCATGTCATTCTTCTGCCTAAAACTGTCAATGGCTACCTGTTTCTTTTCAGATAAAGTTTAGAACCCTACACAAGACTTGGCAAAGACCTTCACATTCCTACTTTTCCCTGCTGATCTCTGGCCTCTTTGCAGCATTCTCCAGTGCTTGCTGTAATCCAGCCTAAACCAAACACCTTCCGTTTCCAGATGGCATCATGTTCTCTCACCTGAGTACTTGCTCTATTAATCACAGGATTCATAAATGTATATTTTCATTATTAGTTTATTTCTTTGAATCTGCTGTTAAACATGTATCCTATGGGAGTCAGGATTGTGTCTTTCTGTTTTAACCACTAATACACTATAGGTGCTTCATGACTCTGATTAATGAAGGAAGAAATCAATGAAACATTAAGGAAGCTTCTACAAGAAGAAAATTTGGTTTCTGAAGTTTTCTTTAAAAATATGGAGTCAAAGCTGAAAGTGTCAGATCTCCTGAGAGATCTGTACCACTCTGAGCCCAGGTAGCTAACTCTCCCTCACCACCTTCCCATATCCTTGAAAAATCATTGCAGGGAGAAGTAGTGTTACCACTGAGATCGTGTCATATTCTTCAGAAAAAACAAAATGGGCTTCCCCAGTGGCTCAGCAATTCAGGAGACACAGGAGATAAGGGTTTGATTCCTGGGTCGGGAAGAGACCCTGAAGGAGGGCACGACAACGCACTCCAGTATTCCTGCCTGGTGAATCCCATGGACAGAGGAGCCTGGTGGACTACCAGTCCATGGGGTCACAAAAGAACCGGACACAACTCAAGTGACTGAGCACACAGCACACTTCAGAAAATTGGCTACGTGGGAGTAGAATCTTTGAGGTAAGCCATTACCTAATGGCTCCAGTTCCCCTCATTCTTAGAGAAATTGATATAACCACCCCCACTAAAGGAACTGCCTTCCAAGCAGCAAACTGGAGTTGGCTAGTCAGTGTATACTTTCTTTGTAGACAGTGTTAAAGACATACTGACAACTATTGATCTCTGATGTACATCTTTCCACTCTCCAGAAAATCACCGCCCTTCAGTTAATGTATCCATTTGTCAGAGTCAATTTACAATCAAATTAACTGGATTACAGCTTTCCTTGTTAGTTACATCTCAGCTCTGAGAATAAACTTCTATTCTCCTTGGCTGTACTTGAGTGCTCTACAAATTTCTTAACTAAGATATCTACCAATATGATTATTTGTGCAGAAGACCATACTCATTTTTCATTTACTGATTTTTATCATTAATAATTTTAATTAATAATTAAAATAATTACATTAATAATTACCAACCAGATAATTTCTCTTTACCTTACCCACAAATTTCAAAGTCCTCTGTAAATCACTACATGTGTCAAGAGACAATTAAAGGAATATTCTCCCATACAGAAAACAAATGGTTATTCATAGTTTTGCCCATTTAAAAAATATATAATCTAATTTCTTTAGGCACGATAATGGATAAAGTCTATGCATTTAATGTGACTTTCCTCTTGTGTTTCAGCAAAAGCACACAAAAAGCCAACCAATATGACTTGTTTTTAGAGCTTTACAATGTAATAAATACAATAATAATCATTTAGATAGATTTTTATGGTTTACAATGCACCTTCCTGCATATCACACTAACTCCTCAAAATGCCATTAAGGTAGTTCTTCTCACTAAGTGAAAAATAAAGGCACTGCGGCACACGTCTAAGTGTGAGAACTAAGCAAGAGCTAGAGCCTGCATTCAAACGTGGAGTCCCCTAAATGCTCCGGCAGCAGACTGTGCTGACAGCTGCACAGCATCGTATGTTAAACAGCAGGGGGTGTACACTTTAAGGCAGAAAAGCTTATGGCATGTGAGCGATATCTCACTTCCAAAGAATAAAAGAATAAAGGCCCATGTATTCTGAGATGGTATAATCTCCAAAATGTATTAAACGAGAAAGAAACATACAGCGTGCAGAGAATGCTATTATCTGCTTTAAAAAAAAAAATAATGTACACACATATACAGGCTTTCTCACATAAAATCTCTGAAAGGATATACAAGTGGTGAGTAACATTATTTCCTAAAGGGAGACGAGCTGGGACAGCTGGGGAAAATGCTGGCCCAGAAGGGAAACCTTTCTTTAAGTATATCCTTTTATATCTTTTGAATTTTATCCAGTGAATTACTGAATTCAACTTTTAATTTACAAGAAAACAAAGGAATACTCTGATGCTTTATCTTTAGTCTCAACATTTATGTTAAAGTTCAAGTTCATTATATATTTTGGATATTAACACCCTTTTCAGATACATGGTTTGCAAATATTTTCTCCAGTTCCATACAGCACCATGTATCTGATAAGGCTGTTAATATCCAAAATATATAAAGAACTTAAAAATGACAAAAAATCCAATTAAAAATGAGAAAAGGATCTGAATAAACATTTTTCCAAAGACATACAAATGGCCAGCAGACACATGAAACAATGTTCAACATCACTAATGTAAGGGAAATGCAAGTCAAAACTACAATGAGGTATCGCCTCAAACCTATTAGAATCATAATCAAAAAAGAAAAAAACAAAAACAGAAAGCCAAATCACAAGTGTTGGTGAGGATGGGCAGAAAAGGGAACCCTTGTGCACTGCTGCTGGGAATGCAAATTGGTACAGGCACTATGGGAAACAGCATGGCAGTTCCTCAAAAAATTGAAAACAGAACTACTGTATGATCCAGCAATTCCACTTTGAAAACATTAACTCAAAAAGATATGTGCTTCCCCTGTCACTGCGGCATTATTTCCAACAGCCAAGATGTGGACACAATGTTAAGTGCCCAGTGATGAATGAATGAATGAAGAAAATGTAATATATATACATAATAATATACGGGGGCTTCCCAGGCAGCTCAATGGTAAAGAATCCACCTACCAATGAAGGAGACACAGGTTTGCCCCTGGGTCGGGAAGGTCCCCTGGAGGGGAAAATGGCAACCCACACCTGTACTCCTGTCTGAAAAATCCCACGGACAGAGAAGACTGGTAGGATACAGTCCATGGGGTCACAAGGAGTAGGACACATCTGAGCAACTGAGCACACATAAACACACACTTATATATACATATACAAAAAATGGAATTATATTGCATTGAGTCACTAAGTCACGTCCAGCTCTTTGAGACCCCATGGACTGCAGCACACCGGGCTCCTCTGTCCTCCACTATCTCCTGGAGTCTGCTCAGATTCATGTCCGTTGAGTCGGTGATGCTATCTAACCATCTCATCCTCTGCTGCTCCTGCTCCTTTGCCTTCAGTCTTCTCAGCATCAGGGTCTTTTTCAATGAGTTGGCTCTTGAATGGGATTTTATTCAGCCATGAAAAAGAATGAAATCTTGTCACTCTGTGACAACATGGATGGAACTTGAGGACATAAGTTAAGTGAAATAAAACAGAAAAGCAAATATTGTACAACGATCTCACTTACATGTCGAATTAAAAAACAATAACAACAACAAAAACCCAAACTCATAGACAAAGGGAACCAACTGATGGTTGTTTATTGGAAGTAGGGGGTCAGGAGTGGGCAGAAATGGTAAAGGAAGTCATAAGGGACAAGCTTCCAATTATAAAGTTAATGTAGTTACAGGGATAATATACAGCATGGTAACCATAATTAATATTGTAGGGGATGTCTGAAAGTTGCAAAGAGAATAATCTTGAAAGATCTCACCACAAGAAAAAAAATTCTGTAACTGTGTATGGTGACACAGTTGAGCTGTTACAAGACACTGTGGTAATCATTTCACAATACATATAAATATTAAATCATTACGTGATACACCTGAAACTAATATAATGTATGTCAATTATACTTCAATGAAAACAAGGAAAGAAACAGGAAAAAAAGAGATTATTTTCATTTTCTTTGGTAATCAACTACTACACCAAGAAGGGTCCTCGCCACCAGACTTTAACATGGTTGAGCCACAGACAAAGTGCTTAACTCTCCAGTAAAAAGTTAATAAATTAATAGGTTAATTTTTAATCTTTTAAAGTCAAAGACCATAAAGCATCTGTATCATTTAACGTACAGCCCAATGCTCTATTCTGATTACTGCATTTCATAATCTCATAATTCTCTTTTCTGAATGTGTATATCTGCTTGTTTACTCTTTTTTAAATTGGAGTACAGCTGATTTACAATATTGCGTTAGTTTCAGATGTACTGCAAAGTGATTCAGCTATACATATTTTTTCTGACTTTTTTTTCATTATGGGTTATTACTTTAAACAAAAAACCACAGAACTATATAAAGCTGTTTGTTCACTTCTATTCATGAAAGTTTTGTCGTATTAAAGAAGACAGAGTATTAAAAAAAAAATTTTTTTTTAAGTACTTACCTGCCTTCTATACTCTAAAAGAGAGTCATATAGCTTCCACCCATTTTCAGGGAATACTTCTTTGTACTCAAAAGCAAAAAGAGACTACAAAAAGTAAACAGAGTTAATAGCTTAAAAAGACCTTTAAGAAGGTAATGAAACAGAAATGTAACTCTGTCATACCCCAAGTTTTCATTTACTTATCTGCAAGGATATTTTGTATTGGTATACTTTTTTTTAACTGTTGTTTTAGCTTTTGTTTTGTAATTTTGAAAGTTTATTGTTTTTTTAGATTTTTCTAAACACAGAAAAGCACAAAGACCTGCCACCAAGATTTATCAAAAGTTAACATATTACCATAATTCCTTCAGATATCTTTAGTAGCTGTTTTAGGTTTACTTCTAAATAATGAAAGACATCACATAAAAAAAGACAACTTCTGATATAATTAATTCATTTGACATCACAAATGTCAGCCGTTAAGCAGCTTTACAGATTATGCAACATTTTCTAAAACACACTGAAAAGACTTTTTATTTGTGGGCAGGCAATCTGTGTAGCAAAATAGAAAATTTTAATTTATCATTAATATGGAGAGAATGGCAGGAACAACTATGATGAAAAGCATTCAAACGAGTCAAAAGACCAAAACTGATTCTAAATTTTACTCCTTACTAACTGTGCCACTGAGTTAATTGTTTACCTGCTTCTGGTTTCAACTTTAAAATATGGATAGATAATATTTACCACCATAGAGCTACTCTGGACATTAGATTATGTAAAATAAATGAGGAGACCTAACACTGTTAATAGCACACAGAAAAAACTCAGCTCTAAGTATTTATCCACCCTTTCCTTCTAATATTGTAGACTTAACTCTCAGCTCTCAATTAAAAAGGAGATTTCACATACAGCTTTTCATCATGGAAACATCCATTATTAAACAATGTCAGTCTACAGGAATGGACCTCAGAAATCAGTCCAGCTTCCTCATTTTATACCTTAAAAAAACTGGTCCCATAGATTAAATTAAACCTAAATAAACTATACATCTGGTTAAAAGGCAAAGTAAGATTATAAACACCGAGATTCTAGATAGCCTAGACAAGTTTCTCTACACTATACCAATAATTATAACACAACTTTTTCAAAGATAGAAGAAATCTCTTACCAGGTTATTAGAGACAGGAAATGCATATTTCATTAGATTTTCAAATATTGATCTTCTTGTTCGCCCCTCAGGTTTATGGGCAAATCGTAAATTCCGAATATCCTAGAAAAGGGTTAGGATTCAAGTCACCTATCACTGTTTGCTCACTTTTTTAATAAATAAATAAGGCAACTTGGAACTAGCTCGTAAAACGTTAAGATCTGTGAATGAGGGATACAAAAATAAGTCAGACAACAGCTCCTGAAGGAAGGGAAATTACAACGCCTTATTAAGAGAAATAAAAATAAACACAGGAACTCTCATACAAGGTAGGATTCGGAGGACAGAAAACTCCCCTCTGTTTATGAATTCAAGTTGGGCCAGTGAAGGAGGCAGCATCTGATGTAAGCACAGGAGATTAGAGATGTTATATCTGAAATCATGGTATTACATGACTGATACACACTATCAACAATATGTCCTTTCCCTGTTAAAGGCCATTTTTTGTTACGAATTTCCCTACCAAAAATCTGATTAGCTATTGTTATATATTTCATAAAGTCTTCATTCCAATTATGCTTGGTGATCATTTTCCTATTTATAATACCTTCCCAGGACTCACTTCCATTGGATCTTTAATTCCTAAGTCTCTGGCTACTAGACTGATAAAACCAAAACTCTGCCTAAAGGTCTTCTTCCATTGCAGGTCCCAAGCTCTTCAAACATCTACTAGCAAAAACTCTGAAAAGTTTAGTTGATATCATCAAGGCTCTATACTCAGATATAAAAATCAAAGTTCCCTTCCCTTATTTGTTTTCAAGCAGGTTTCTATACTCAGACTGAATGTAGATACTCATGTTCCAATTGGGTGAGATCTTAGCAGCACTAAAAAAAATTGGGATTAAGAATAATTTCAAGACTATTCGTTTTGTTTTCATCTAGAAAGAATTCAAAATAGCCTCATTAAACTGCATCCTGTAAAAATGAGCAGAGAAACTACAATGCACCTACAAAAAATGAACAAGTAGAACATTTTATTACAAATCTCATCCAAAATTAGAAAGCCACCATTTTAAACCAACATGTGAGAACCTAAGCTTTTTGGTTTTCCTTAGTGAATATTTTTACAACAAACAGATATTCACAACCATTCTGTTAAACACAGAGTTCTCCAAAAGTACAGCAGCAGGGGCCCTACAAATGTTTGAGTTTACTGATAATGGTCTTGCTCTATGGAAAAAGTTATATTTAAAATGATCAAAATTTCCCAATCACCCTCTTCCATGAGCTCTTATATCCATCTATGCTGTATTTACTCCTATATCACAGAAGAGCAATCAGGAGACAATGTGCCTGTCACTTGGCTGACAGCTATTATGCTCTTAAAGGCCTTCCAACAATAACTGAAAAGCATGCAGGTAATTACTAAGGCATTAGTTTCAATACTAGATTGATAAAACTTCTAAGATTGGCATAAGAAAGGATCTTTAAAGTTATGAATGCGCTGTTGCTTTTTTTGTTGTTCTGTTTTTACATTTTTGGCACTGACAGCAAAATGAAAGGAAAAAGTTGACCCACAAGCGAGATGGACACAGGTGTACATTAGGCCATAGTAAGGAGAAGAGTGACCTTGGAAGTGACAACAGTATCAATATTAAATATCTATGACTAAATGTTAAAATTACTTTAACAATCTAAGGCAAGTATTGAGAGAGTGAATTCCTAGGTAGGTTGATAAGAAGTCCGGGGTCCCTGAGGAGAAAGGTGTCTGGGGCTCTCAAGGAGGAGATAGGGGTCTGGAGTTCTCAAGAAGGAGAAAAGGACAAACTGTTTTCTACATTCCTTCATCTTAATCACATAAAACATTTTTTTTTTTTCTTTAAACCCAGAGCTGATGATTACACAACAAAACAATTTAAACTCTGTATTAAGGATTATATAGTAACTATGTATCCTGCTTGAGGACATGTTTTTCCTTCTGGAGAACCTTCTGACTAACCCTGTTATTTGACAAGGTACATTATGGGAGTGAGTCTGGTAAGATCTTTCTATTGTTAGTTCTAATCCCATTATCTTAAAATGTAAATCAAGGAAGTGGGTCTGGTAAGACCTTTACAACCTTGAGACATTCTTCTGATTTCCTGTAACAGCCAACTGAAAAGGTATACAGCTCCCTTTCCTAAGACTAGCAAGGGGGCACTCTCTGTCCCGCTTCTGATGTCTATGCCAGAAGCTTTCCCTGTCCCTTTTTATACTTTAATAAAACTCTGCTACACAGAAGCTCTTGAGTGATCAAGAGCTGGTCCCAAAGCTAAATCTTCAGAGATCACGAATCCGACATTGTTCACTGTAAGGGATAAGTATCAATGCATTTATAGAATGAGTTAGATAATAAAATACAGACAGTCTACCAAATGAAGTCTTCCCCACTACTGTTTCAGAAGCAGAAAAATTATGAAAACTAAAAATAGGAAAGAGGTAAATATATCATAATCAGTTCTTTCACTACAAAGTACTACGAGTCTTAACTGCTCAGAGCCTTATGTTTCTAATTTGTAAATTAAATTCACAACAGATCACCTTTTTATTACTCCTAAATGTTGTTTTATTCTACTAGAATGATGCTTCTAGCATGAAATCCATTTGATATTTTGGAAACCAATTTCTAAACACTGGCTCTATTTAATAGAAAGCTTTCCAAACCAAAAAAAAATTGCATACATATTACAACATTTACCTTGCACACAGTTTCCAGTCCATAAGAATTTTCACCACGACTAGAAGCACCACCAATTTTTTCTACTCTGCTTATAACACCAAGAGAAGCATCTAAAACAAATGGGGGATCCTAAAAGAAGGAAAAAAAAAAAACCATTAAAACCGAGCAATTAATACTGTATAATTATAGCTGAGAAAAGTATTTAATTAGAAATGTTTTAATTAAAAATGATTAAAGATGAACAAACAACACACAGATGTACACACAAAAAATCTAATCCAGCAAGTCTTACCCGTTCCATGCTTTTGAAATATAACCTGTAATTCGTAACAGTCAGAGTTCCTCGTACAGCACCAGTGAATGGACATATATAAGTTACATCTTTGGCTGAAAAGAAAAAGAGCCCACAATTTACTCTCTATGGTACACTATTAAAAACTGCACTCTGATCTTTCACAAATAAAATTTAATAGCATTCTGACCGCTAGTTTAAATTATGCTTGAAAATCACAGAATCAGTGATTCCAAGAGACCTCGGGAGCTAAATCCAAGCTTCCAACCACGCACTACAATCTGGGGAGGGAAAGCAGAATAAGTGGGAAGAACTAAAGAAACAGAGGGACATCTTCCCCAGTCCACTGGTTTTCTTCTGACCGTAGTCTAGTTTGTCAACATTCCTCTGAACATACAATACCTAAAACATAATACCAGTAACTCCTGACCTGATTATATTTATGGGGAAAATACTGTAGAGAAAATAAAATGTATATGAACTATGATTTCTTAGAAAAATATAATAGCACAATAAGAGGGTATTATGTACCTGATTAAGAAACAGATGTCAAACTTTGTAGAGAAATAATCACATTGTTTAATGTTTAATGATGAATCTATACAGTATTATTTTTTTTAAACATGCATTAATTAAGCAGGATAACTCAACTACCACTAGCTCAAAGTAATACTTAATATGGTAGCATTCATATGCCCAATACAAAGGTTTTTCTATTTTAAAATATTCATAAATCCCTGCTATGTCATCATTGCAGCAAATCAGCAGATAAAGGAGTATCTTCATTGTTGCAAGAAACTAAGGCACAATTAGAAGCAAAAAACTTCTAAGAACCTTTCAAGGGGCTTCTGGGAAAACGTAGGAACATGAAATATGCTTAATAAGGCATGCAACTTCCTGAGTTTGCTTTCTATTCCTCACTGTGAAGGACTGACCGCTTAGTATGGAATTTGAAATGAGACTGATCTTCTAACATACATTTCTAACCTTCAAAATGGCTCCCTTGGGAATGTACAAGTATAAGCTACTTTTTTTAATCACTGTTTCCGATGCATATCCAATGTTTCATTTAGAGGGAAGCTATTAAAATTAAATAAACCCATCATTAAAGAAAGATACATAAACTTGCCTTGCATACAATTTCTTGCCCTTATGAATTTTTACCTCAAATGGGAAAGCTTTACTCAATGTTACTAAAAACATTCCTGGATTCTTTCCAGAGCCAATTTTCTTCACTCACACAAGAAATCAATCTTATTATTCTGTACCCTTCTACAGGCTATGTCTCTGTTAGTCCCAGTCCAAAGTTTTTGCTACAACTTCCCCTTTATTATAAAACCATGAAATAATATACATAAATGTACTTCCAAAATTAAAAGTACTCTACCAAACACAAGAGTTTATAGCTATGTTACTATTATCATCATTAGGGTCTGCTTTGCTCTGTCCCTTTCTTTAATCTTTTTCCTCAGGCTGGTAGCAACTAGGTCTCTCTGAAGAGAGAATTTCTGCCTAGCAGGGCTTGTACCAAGTAGAAGAAAGACTGTGACTAGGAAGCTTATCAGAGCAAATGACAATAAGAACCAGCACTGACAGAATTTATAAAGTACTTTTCACCTGAGGACCTGCCTTAACCTTCAAAATCACCTTTAAACATTAAGACCTCTAGCTACCTACAATGTTCAGATGAGAACACCAGGGTTCGCAGAAGTAAAACAAATCGCCTAATGCTTCAGAGCCAGTAACTGCTAAGATTAGGACTTGAGTGCAGTTTCCATGACTGCAAACTGAAACCTGCTTCCAGAGCCGCATGCAAACGGCTTCCCTGGTGGCTCGGATGGTCAAGAATCGGCCTGTGACACGGGAGACCAGGGGTTCCATTCCTGGGTCTCCTGCATCAGGAAGATCCCCTTCCCCTGAAGAAATGACAATCCACTCCAGTATTCTTGCCTGGAAATTTTCATGGACAGAGGATCCTGGCGGGTTACAGTCCATGGGGCCACCAAGAGTTGGACACAATTGTGTGACTAACTCAACTGTGTCACTTGTAAGCCACTCAGGTGACACGGTCTGTCTCCTGTGTTAGAGGGTGAAATACCGCAGCTGAGGCCACCTCTGCTGCTGACGTGCCCAGGCCAATACCCTTCGACTACTGCAGCTGCTGTTAGAGCATTCTGTTGATGTCTAACACCACTGTGACTTTTAAAACATGTCTAAACCGCAAATTTACACTAGACCAACCAAGAACGCTAACTGGTCTAATGTAAGTGAGCTTTCACATGAACTGATTTCTGCGTGAATTAACGCACTCGAGGGCACTCGCGCCTCATGCTTCCCTGGTGGCCCAGACCGTAAGGCGCCGGTCTGCAGTGTGGGAGACCGAGGTTCGACCCTGGGTGGGGAATACCCCCTGGAGAAGGGAATGTCAGCCCACGCCAGTACTCTCGCCGAGAAAACCCATGGCTGATTCATGTCAATGTATGACAAAAACCACTACAATACTGTAAAGTAATTAGCCTCCAACTAATAAAAATAAATGAAAAAAAAAAGTCCATGGATGGAGGAGCCTGGTAGGCTTCAGTCCACGGGGTCGCAAAGAGTCGAACATGACTGAGAGACTTCACTTTCACTTTTCATACTTTATATCACATTTAATTTTTTGAAAAATCAAGTCTATCTGATGATTTGAATCAGAGTGTCTTATTTAATATATTAAGTATTTCTCTAAATTTTGCAATACTAACACTGCCAGACGCTGAAAGAGCTTAGACTTACTGATCTTCTCAAATTTTTCCTAAGCTCACAAAGAATCCATAATAGTTTCTACAGGGTAGACCAAAATGACTTTGAGAATACATATCTATAAGGATGGAAAGTATATGCAAATAAATGTAATATACGAGAGCACACAATCTGTGCAGAGAGGCACAAAAACACACTCTAAGTAACATAAAGAAGGAAAGTCCACTAAGCTATGGGATCAGAGAAGATTCAAGGAACACAGGCATGAGAGCTGTGCCCCAATGGTTAGTACCCTTTAGATGTTAGAGATGCTAACACATCATTCAGTGAAGAGAAGAACCTAAAACAGATGTGGGAAAGTAAAGCAATTATTTGGACAAAATATATAGTCTGGATCTAATTCATCCTGTATCACATTCTCTTCATTCCTTCTTAATTTCCTCCTCCCTGGTTCTTCTTCTACCATATAACTGTAAAATGCCTACCAAAGCTATGTTCTTGGCCCTATTTTTACTCCATACACTCTAAGTTATTTTCATACTTTCATTTTCAACTAATATCCATATTCTGATGATTCCAAAATATGACTTCTAAGCTGATCTCTCTCCTAAACTCCTAAGTACCTGAAATTTAACATAAATACTACACCAATGGCTCATGAAAATTGAGAGAAAAAGAACACTCAATAAATTTTTGGAGATTACTCCTCCTGATCTGGTAACTGATTGACTATCAGAGCTCAGGAAAAAAAAGCAGCTGAAGATGACTCCCAGATTTCTGCCTTGAGTGAATGGACAACCAGTGTTAATGTTAACTGATGGACAGAAGAAAAGAAATAAATTTAGAAATATAGGTGATGACTTCAGTTTTGGATATGTTGGGTATAAGGGTATCTACAGAATACCCATGGCCATGTGTCTAAGATGCAGGCATTGTTAATCTGTATTAGGACAGAGGTTCACATTAGAAGCAACAAATTTTGGAGTCATCAGTAAATACATGGTAGGTAAAGCTACTAACTTAGATATCATCAATCAAAAAGAACAAATAAGAAAGGAAAGGGAAACAAGCCACAGATCAAGTCCTAAATGGAGTGTTGCTATCTAAAAAAGAAGATAACAAAAGAGATTGAGTGATAACTTGAAACTCTTTTATAAGGTTATTTATCATGGTGTAAATAGCATATGCTTTTAGGCTTAGAAGAGGGGAAAAAACTGTTACAGTGCTAGATATAACTTTACTAGCCAGGCAGTCTTCCGATGCCTTAGTTTCTTCATCTGCAAAATGGGATCAGCATCTTTCTCAGAAGGTCACTGTGAGGATGATTAAATCAGACAGTAAGCACTCAGTAATGATAAGTGTCATTATTATATAGTGTCAAGTAGTAATAATACATAACACCTTACTGAGCAAGTAGCTCAGGAGAACTTAGGATACCTGAAGTGAGTAGTGGGAAAAAAAGGAATGGGCAAGTATTCAACCAATATTCAACTTAAAAGTAAAAGAGAGAAATGCTAAACATGAAGGAACTAAATGTGCCACAGGCAACAACAACAACACAGAGGATAGGTCCCCTTTGGCCTGCTTATTTTTACACAAGTAAATGACACTTGGCTTAAGACTTCCCCAGTGGCTCAGATGGTAAAGAATCCACCCGCATTGCAGGAGGCACAAGAGATGCGGGTTCAATGACTGGGTCAGAAAGATCCCCTGGAGAAGGGAATGGCAACCCACTCCAGTATTCTTGCCTGGGGAATCCCATGGACAGACCCCTGGGGGCTACAGTCCATGGGGTTGCAAAGAGTCGGACTGAGCGACTATCACTTTCAAGTTCTTTTTAAAATTATGATTGATGATAAAATGAAAAGTGACTAAGAAATCATCTACTGTATTTGCCTACACATTACTTTATTTCTCAAAAGCTATGAGTATTTTAACAGCTGAATAATATTCCACTGTGTGTGTGTGTGTGTGTGTACCACATCTTTTTCTTAAGCATCTTACACTATTTCTTTAGAGTTCTTTTATGGATACAAGCATATAACCTTTTCATTTTTTAACTGGCATGTACTTGCTCTACTATACAGTTAAGTTACAGGTTTACAACACAGTGATTCACAATTTTTAAAGGTAGTATTCCATTTATCATTATTATAAAATAATGGTTATATCCCCTGTGTTGTATAATACATCCTGGTAGCCTGTTTTATGCCCAATAGCATGTATGTCTTAACCTCCTGCCCCTACCCTCCCCCCACCCACTGGTAACCACCAGTTTGTTCTCTATACCTGTGAGTTTACTTCTTTTGTTGTTATAGTCACTAGTTTGTTGTACTTTTTAGATCCCACATATAAGTGATGTCATACAGCATGTCTCTAACTCACCTAATCTGGCATAATGACCTCTAAGTTCATCCATGTGGCTGTGAATGGCAAAGTTTCATCCTTTTTATGGCTGAGTTGTATTCCATGTCATACACACACAAACGCCCCACGTCTTCTTTATCTATTCATCTACTGACGAACACTTAGCTCACTTCCATATCTTGGCAACTGTAAATAATGCTATGAACATTGGGGTATGTGTATCTTTTTTAATTAATGTTTTTTTTTTCCCCCAGATATAGACCCAGGAGTGGAACTGCTGGATCATATGGTTATTCGGTATATACCTCATCATCTTTTTTTTTTTTAACCTCATCTTCTTTATCCATTCCTCTGTTAATGAACACCTAAAAAGGAATGAAATCTTGCCATCTGTGAGAATGTGAACAGACCTGAAGGATATTATATTTAATATGTCATACAGAAAGACAAACACCATATATTTTCACTTATATGTAGAATCAAAAAACAGAACAAAGGAATAAATATAACAAAACAGAACAGACTCAGATACAGAGAACAAAGTAGGGGTTATTAGGGGGTAGAGGGGTGGGGAAAGGAGCAAAACAGGTAAAGGGGATTAAGAACTACAAACTACCAGCTGCAAAATAAACAACTTACAAGGATGTAATATGCAGCACAAGGAATACAGTCAATATTTTATAATAACTATGCATGCTGTTTAATCTTCAAAAATATCAAATTACTATGCTGAACACCTAAAACTAATACTTTCAGTGAACTATACTTCAATAAATAAATAAATATCTTAAAAATACAAAAGCTATGGGCATTTTGTATATTATCACACAAATGAAACAAAGTAAAAGCATAAGGACAAAAAAATAGCTTGAAAGTGTGTTTCCAGTTTCCAGTCCACACAATAAGTTAATACTTAGTTACTCAGGTTGGATAAAGAAAGGCACTGACATGCAAAGGACTCACTTTGCAATGGAGATGAAATATATTTATCCAAAAATTGACAAATTTATTCAAAGGAGGAAAAATAAAGAAGTAAAAAGAGAGAATATGTTTCAGAAAAAATTACTTGTACAAAGTGACAATTCAATTTTTTATCTAGTCAACCCACTATCTAACTGCAGTAATTCAAAATAATAAAATTTACTGTGATGGAATTCCACAATAGTTTTTAAAATAAGTCACCTTCTTTCAAACCAGAAAAGCAGCAAAATATAACTCAATGGCATGTTTCCATTAGTCAAAACCCAAACACAGTCAATAGGTCTAGACCGATAACACACTGGAAGCAGGAAGGAGTCTGCCCAATAGGAGGTGTCTGCACAGCGAGCCTGGTCTGTGTAGGCTGAAAACACTGACGAGTCTGTACAGTCACAGAGGAGGAAACTGGACAAAAAATACCATTACAGACCCATGTCTTTAATATTTTCTCCTGGAAGCAAGGGTGGTTCTTCCATTTCTGCTAATTTGTTAGACTCCCTCAGGACCTGGATTGGAAAAGAGAGGAGAAGGCAAGAAAAGAAACAATTTTTTATTCAAAGGCTAATTTTTAACTTAAATTTCAACTGAGTATGCTCGGTCTTATTTAAAGCAATAGCATTGTATCACACACACTGCTTTAAATCAAATTACAAAGACTGTAATGCTGGCATGTGTAACACGTGAAGTTGCTGTTTTTCTACAAAACATTTACTGAGTGCCTACTTTGTATAAGATACTACACAAAACACTTTATGTTTGTTATTGACTCCTACAATGGCCCTATAAGGAAAGGTATCATTATCCTCGTTTCTCAGATAAGGAAAAAGAGGCCAGAAGCAACAATTACCTTGTAAAAATTCCTATAGCTAAAAAGTGTCAGAGCCTAGATTTGAATTATAGTTTTGGTGGACTACAAAGCTCATTTTATTTCCCTTCAGCCATATTCAAGTGCCTTACTGCATTAAGACTTACATAAAATCAAACTTTTATGTAGATTTAATGTTTAGAGAATCTGGAAATGATGTTGATACAGAATCTTGTTGAAAAAGAGATATTTAAATTAAATAAATTAATAAATTTTAAATAAAATTAAAGAGATAAATTAAAATCAAGATCAACAACACTTACTGAGTAGTTACCTTATGAAGAGTGTTACACTGGATTCCAAGAATGTAAAGATGCAGAATCATGGTTTTCTAATGGACTTACAACCCATAGAACACATGCGCGCGCGCATACATGCAACTGTTTTATGCTAAGTATATCCCACGACCTTTCAAAAGTCTTAACTTTCACCTCTTTCACTGCCAATCGATAACCTTCACTGTCTCCAATTCTTCACCTTCCATTAGTTCCTCAACCTTCTGCAATCTGGCTTTGCCACCTAACCCAACCTCTTCAGGGAACCTGATTTCTCTCCAACAGAAGGTGAAAGTGAAAGTGAAGTCGCTCAGTCCTGTCTGACTCTCTGTGACCCCATGGACTGTAGCCTACCAGGCTCCTCCATCCATGGGATTTTCCAGGCAAGAGGACTGGGGTGGGTTGCCATTCCCTTCTCCAGGGATCTTCTCAACCCAGGGATCGAACCTGGGTCTCCTGTGTTGCACGCAGACGCTTTACCGTCTGAGCCACCAGGGAAGCCCTTTCTCCCCAGTAACCTCGTCATTAAAGACAGTGGGTATTTCTCAGTCTTTATTTCTATCTCCTAGCTACATCTGATGCTACCTGCACTTACCTGCTCCTTGAGAGCACACTCTCCTGGCTAAACACTTCCTTCTCTGGCCACTCTTTTTCAATGACCCTTCTATTCCCTTTTCTCAACCTTATTTCTCAGAGTTTGTCCATTTCTCACTTTACTCACTTCCTGTTGATTTCATACCTTACCTATGACTTTACCTCACTTCAATCTATATCGTCAGCCAATATTTTTCTTGGACTCCAGTTCCACACATCCAACCGCTTAATGTTCCTCTCCCTCTATATGTCCCACAGACACTGAAGAGATCTCAAATGGATCTGTGTTCCACACTGAGCACGAGGCGCTACCAGCCATGTGACTGTCAAAGTCAGTTTCACGGGAGGGAGCGAGCAGAGGTCTATGAGCTGACTCAGACCTTCCACTCCAACCTTGATTCGTTTCATTAGACTGAGAACCAAAACACCTAGAAAAAAGACTCTCACTTTTTTTTGTTATATAGCATTTGACTTTTTATTTCCTTCCATCCAAAAAGTAGCCTGAGAGTCCTCCAGAGAAGGTAAAAAGGAAGAAAAGACAAGGTACTGCAACTGCCTTAAAGGTCACCTTCCACGGGCCGTCAAAACTACTTCAGAGGTCTGCAGGCACGAGCCCCTCTCTGGCACTTACCCACCACTCTGACGGGGCTGTCTGTTTTCCTCCCTACCAGACTCTGCGAAGAGACACCATAGTGCACACATTTTTGAATTCCCAACAAAAATAAAATACCAGGCACATACATAATTTTTAACTATCTTTTAACAGTAAAAAAGTAAAAAGAAACAGTCAAAATTGGTTTTAATAATATATTTTACTTAATCCAACAACTCAAAAACAGTCCTTTCAAGATATAATAAGTATTTTTAAGTAAAAGATACTTTATATTCTTTTACTCATACTAAGCCTTCAACATCCAGAGTATGTTTTATACTTCTAGCACATTTCAACCAGACCAGCCACATTTCCAGTGCTCAATAGCCATCAGTCTAGCGGTGCCTGAATTGAGCAGCACTACTCCAATGAATCTAATTCTTACTGATAATCAAGTCATTCCCAGTTTAAGCTGTGCACTTAAGGAGGATGAGGAAAAAGGGTTAGAAATTACTGCCACAGCCCAACACTCACCAAGGTCAATAAAGGAAGAACTACAAAGAACAAAAAACAAATTACTTCTGTTCAACACATCAGCAAGCTGCACAAATTCACTTTTGAAAATTTAATAATTTATTTCATAAAGCAATACCTAAAGAACTAAAATATATACACACATATATACTTTTTAATATTCCACATTCTAGAACTCAAAAAAGGTCACATTTTTAATGTTATCTCATTGCTACTTCCTGATACAATCTTTTATGTAGTCATAAAAGAAATGTAAGAAAAAAGGAAAAGAGATAAGGAGGGAAGGAAGGAGAGAGGGTGGGCCTATGAAGGTACAGAAAATCAGGATGAAAACTTGCACAATGCAAATATATACAGACATCTTGGCTTCAAATTCTTCCTATGTTACATGCTATCTAGGTACTCTTAGACAAGGTGTTCAACTTCTTTATGCCTCATTTTCCCCACCTATAAAACGGTCATAATCACAGTACTCCACAAAAGGGCTGTTATAAATTAAATGAGTTAATACACAAAGTATTTAAATCAGAGTTGACACAAAAATATACTTAACAAGTATTTTCCATCAATAATAGCAAAATATTTAGACTAACAAGACTGCCAGAATCTGGTAAGAATTTCTACTAATTATGAAAACAAAAGACACAAATAATAACTAACACACACAGTATACTGAAAAATCAAACATGTGAAAAATCATATAAAGGGAAGATACTTTACTCTGTGCCCACTGTCTACTGCTTGATTTGGAAATGTCACTCACTCATGTCACTCACAAGGCTGGACACTCGTTCTCTACTGCACAGGTTTACTTCTCCTAGTTAGTGTTGTTCCCCACGATTTCCTCTCTTTCTGTATTTCTGCATTCAGAAGGAAGCTACAATGCCCAGAAAATATGTGCACTGCAGGCGTGGAGACGAAGGCAGTTCTGGCAGAGGCATGGGTGCATGAGGAGGTATAATCTTCGTAAGTAAAACTTTGCAAAGTGAGAAAAGACAGAGAAATGCATGTCAGTAGCATGTGTCGAGAATGGTAGGCTCTCTCGTACTCTCTGACTAGAACCTCAGAGAGCAAGACAATAAAGAGAAGCAAGATGGACAGCACTATTTGGAAAATCTGCACCAGATGACAGACTTTTAATAACAGGTATACACTGGAGGTTATACATGAACAACTCACTTAGAGCTCAAGATACTGGCATAAAAAGAAGCTCAAACAACTGAACAAGGCAGGCCAAGGGCAATCCAGACACTGTTTACTGGCAAACACTGACTCTGAACAAATCTATCCATAACAAAACCAGAGAGAAAAAAGGGGGTGGACGGGAGCCCAGAAGAAAAGATTATTTGACAAGAAGTATCAGCTTGAAGCTCAAAAAAAAACAGCAGTCCTCTGAAAATAATTTCTATAAGCATTAGCAGAAACAATCTGTAAGCTATCTGCATACCTGAAAGTAAATTAGCCATAACCCCCTAGGAGACAGGAACAGAAAGGAGACAGAAACTAAGAGAAATGGGTAAAACAAGAACTGCTTACAAAAGATTTTAATGCAATAGCAGAAATAAAATCTGTGCTGTTATTAATAAAGAACTGAATGAATTATTTAGAAAGCAGCATTTATGTAGAGGGCAAACATGGAACGTCCTCTAAGAATTTGTAGAGAAGAACAGACACAAAAATCACGAGGGAAGGTGATAACCAATAAAATAATTCTCTTCCCTAAAGGAAAAAATTAAAACTGGTTAAAAGCAATAATCCAACATGTAACTGAAGAACATGTTTTAGAAATGAATAAAGATATTCTATATTTGCTGATCAGACTAGTTTACCGTGTTCCAAATTAAAAAAAAAAATCAATGAACAGAGACATATATGGGTACATTTTAGCAAAAATTTTTGAACTGTAATTAAAAGACAAACTATGGCTATATAGACAAAAATTTTTTTTAAGAGAATTTACATACAAAAGCAAACCCAGCTACCTTCAGGCTTCTCTGTAAAACTATATCCCAGAAAACAATAAGAAAATGCTATTGGATTCTTAAAGGAAAAGTCTGTGATCACTCTAATATGGAAGTCATTCTCAGATATGCCAAGTCAACAAAAATATAGCATATGTGTCCTGCTTTTGAAAAAAGAAAAAGAAATTACTTGAGGCAGTAATTAAGCTGAAAAGGGCGAATGAAAATTACAATATATATAATAAATTTGTGGTATCCAGTAAAGACAAGTTTTACATCCTAACTACCCTGCAGTCAAAAAAAAAACACAAAAAAAAGAAAACCAAAAAACATTTACTTCCACCATACAACTCTGAGTCTTAGCTTCATCATTTATATTACTAGGGTAATATTAATATCCACCTTACAAGTTTGTGAATATGAAATGAGATCACTGCATCATAAAGGCACTTGCAAGGTGCTATTAAAATGTAAGAAACACTTATTCACTTAACAGAAGTATCAACATAAATTTCACTGTCTCTTGTCACAATGGCTTATTCACATGGTGCTTTATTCCTCTGCTCTAAAATACACAAGTATTAATATTTGAGATAGGATATCATAATGGGAACCATATATTTAACTCTTGAACTATTAAGCTCCTAGACTTAGCTACAGAACAGCAAGCAACTTACTGTTCTAA